CTCCAATGTGTTGGCACAAAGTCCTATAATTGTTAAGCTTTGATAGATTCTACTTTTGAGAGAGGTTTGGGAGAGAATTTTAATAAGATTGGAATTCAGAGTATGAAAAATTCGAGTGTGTGAGAAAAATATATAAATATATAGAATGTATATTTGATTTGTAAACCAAGTTAGTAGTCTTTAGAAGGGTAATTGTTTGGCTAATATTCAAAAAATTATATCAATAAAAGGACTACATATATTTTTTAGTTTATAGTATTTTGCTATTTTATTGATTTTATCCTTTTCAAAAGTTTCAATTTTACTCCAGATATTAAATTAATTTTTTTAATTAAATTTGAATTGTCACAAAATTAAATGGTAAAGTGATGATCTAATGTCAAAATATATTTTAATCACTGAGTTGAAAAATATTCTATGCTTTTATTTAGTTACATAGACATGCCAATTCGAAAATTTAAATTTTGAAACATAATAAGTTACTTGACCTGAATGCAACAAGAAAATTGACTAATAAAATTTTTGATATACTAATAATTGAAATTTTCATAAAAAGTACAATTTTAAAATTCAAATACTGTCATTGTCTTCTTGTTTTTTTTTAGAAAATATTAGTGTTGTTTTAACTGCAATTAATTTATTAAAAAGTCAATAAATAAGTGAAGAAATTGAAGCTCCTAAAAAATTATCAAAGCGAGCATAGCTCAGCGGTAATTTCCAACCGTGAGGTTGTGAGTTCGAATCCCCTCCCAAGAAGAATGTTTACAGGACGGGTAGAGATGGAGAAAGCTTTCCTGTCCCTTTCCACTTCACATTTAATTCTCTATTCCCGTGAAATTCTCTAAGATATTTTACGATGATTGGGCTAGAGATTCTTTGTGGGGATCGAGTTCCCCACGGTGAAGTTTTTCCCGTTTATTTTTAAATTTTTAAATCTATTACTCAATAAACTAATTTTTGAAAAAAGGACTTTCTTATTAATTGTTTTATTTCCCATAATAAAACTTCATTTACAGGTTTAATCCTTTCACATACACATTTCCATCTCCGTCTAGGTAACGTGAAATGCATTTTCCATCTCCGTTCTCATTTAGATAACAGAAAAAAATGTCCCCCATCCCTGTTTCGAGGAGAATCTAAACAAAGATTATGCACCCTATTTAGGGTGAGTCCTCATGAGATCCTCTCCATTGCAAAAATGAACACCCCTACCCTCTAAATAATTTAGATTTAAAGGTTATGTATGAAAAGAAACTTTAATAAAAATTTTGGTTAAATTAAAAAAAAAAACCTTTGAACTTTAATAATTTGTTTTAAAAATATTATAATATCCTTTTGAAAGTTTCAATATCGTCCTTAGACTGAATTTTTATAAAGTTTTCGAAAATATCTTTGTAGTGAACACTCGTAAATATTTTAAATGAAAAGTTGACGTGACAAAACTTGGAATGGACGTGACAATTAACGTTTCAATTTTGCCTTAAAGTCTTCTTCCTCCATTCTGGGGAGGGTTTGCTTCTCCAATTGTCTACCAAATTTTGCCCTCATCCATTTTTAAAAACGATAACTTCTTTCACAATTCATCTTTTTTTCGAACTTAATTTAGGTAAGCTTCTATGTTAATTGCCATGTCGTTTCAAATTGTTGGGAAAATTACTTACCAAGAATATTTTCACCTTCCACAATTCTTCAATGAAAAATAAGTCAATCACGCAATAGGAGAAAGACGAGAAAGACAGGGAAAGCAAAGTAAGAGATTTATACTCTTTTACCAAACTATGGGCTACGTCAGTCTTTTCCGTGACAACGRGTTCCAGTATGATATTATAATAATACAATGGGGAAATACAATAATCTCTCAAATCTATAAGCCTCGACAAAAGTCACCTACCTTTATAGAATCTTAGAAAACATGATATAAAAACCTCACCAAATACCTACAAAAATAGGTTACCGATGATGCTCTACAACATCGTGATCTCGCCTTTGAAACTCTGTCAAATACACTGCTATTGCACTCTGAAAATTCGTGCACCTGCATGTTTTGCGGTCACTTTGATATGCAATGACACATAAACAAAACCTAAACAAAAAGACTCTATTTATAGGAGACAAATATCCTAATTCTCGTAGGAAAAACAATATTATAATCATTTTCTTCATAGACATGAGTTTTTGGTTTTGACTCCATTATCCCAGTACAATTGTATCGCGTCAACTTTTCATTCAAATTATTAACGAATGTTTGCTAAAATAGTATCTTTATATATTTATAAAAGGTTAGTATTAAAACAAAAAAAAATGATTTGTTTTTTTAAGTAAAGCAGACAACAAAAAATTAAAAAAGCCAAACGAAACATCCAATCCGTAAAGAATAAGAGTATTTTTTTAAAACGAAAGCAAAATTTAGATGTATTTTTTTTGTAATTTAGGCTATTAAAATTTTGTGCCTCTGAAAATTTCTGATTCTACCTGTTAGTAAATAATATATAACAAAAGTACAATGTAATAAGTTATCTGATATATGATAAGTTCATTTTGTGATTGGACATTTTGTTTCTAAGGAAGAGGGAATCCTACCAATTATATTATTTGAAAAAAATGATTGACTTAAATATTACTATATTAGGACATTATTTTAGCTAAAATGTTGAGACAGGACCTCATTATTGGTTACATTCCCCAATGGGATTAAGCTTCTCAATAATTTGTACAACCAAAATATATATTTATATATATATTTAAAACAATTCTCTTGATTTGTCCCACAATGCTAGGTCTTTCCTTTATTCCTTTTATTGGTACCATAAGAGCAAGTGTTGGAATTGTTAACCATTCAAATATAYGTAAAACTCATACACTTTCTTGTAGAATTATACTTTATACTTTTTAAGGGTTGATATTTAAAGTTTTAATGTCGATGTCGATGTCATAATTTGATGGAAATATCGATGAATTGTCGATGTTGATGTTGATGGATATTTATGAAAACTTATATCAAATATATTTAAATTAACAAATAAAAATTTCACATTTTTTAAATAAATTTAAAATTATTAATATTAATATTGCTGATATTATATTCATAGTTTTTATATTTTATTGATTTTTTTACGAAATGGAGATGTTGAACCCATGGGCCATGAGTATATGAAAATGTAATTTAATATCATCGATTTTAAGAATATATTTAAGGGAAAAATTTTACCATGATTTTTTTATGTTAAGTATTTGTCGATTACTCCTATATATAAGTAAGATTTGGAAGTTTTCCACTTATTTTCTGCTTATTATACCTCCTTTTTTTTTTCTCTTGGAATCAAGTGTGTGAATATATTATATTATAATCAATTGATATTCGTTTAAAATGACGATAATAATTATAATAATTGATTGACGCCGTACCCTTTAGTCTAACTTATAAACCAAAAAAAAAAAATCAACCTAACTTTCAACTAGGTATATACCTCCCATCAAAAGRTTGTGTATTTGAACTTGCACGGTTATACTAAAAAAATATTTTAGAAAATGAAAATAATAAAATAAAAAAGTTTCACTTACCTTTTGAGTTTAGAATTATTTTAATGGTTAAATGTATTGAAAATTTTCATTTTTGTCCTTAATCTTTTAAAATTCTCGTTCATAATTTTAATGTATGAAAAATTATCAATCGAGTCATGTCCATCAAATTTGATAATAATTTATATTCTTTTTTTACTTTCATGATAATCATTTCGTTGTAAATTACTATTATTATTTTGAAAAAAATAACTTTTATTTTCTTTTTCATATTTTTTAGTAGGACCTCTCTACTTTCTTAAATCATATTTGAATTTCTAATCAATTTTTTTTAATAAGGGAAGTAGTTTTTATAAGTTTTTTAAGTTCTAAACATGTTAATGTCACATGTTACTTTGACACATGAAACATAATCCGTCTCATCAACAAAGTCGATTCCTTCCCATGCCAAATTCACATGTCAAAAAAGTGTAAAACAATTTATTTACCCATCAACTTCCCATTAACAAAATTTAACATATTTTTTTAATCGAAAATTCAATACAGAAAAGGTAAAATTGATAATTATAAAAAATTAATAACCCAATTGAAAAGAAAACCTTAAAAATTAAAAGTCATTTGATATATTTATCATTTAATTGACAAAACACTTATTTGGCAACAACACGAATGTTTTGAAAAATCTAATCAATTTTTTAACATGAGCTTAACCGAGTGTTAATTGGCACCTAAACCAATAATTGAATTTGAATCTCTCACCCAACTTGTTGTATTAAATTAAAAAAAAAATCATAACCAAATTGAAAAAAATGAAAATTCAACAGAGACATTTACATAAATAGCATAAAAACAATATAATTTTTCATATTAAAAAAGTTGTCACGAACATAACTCAACAATAAATACAAATGCATATACTCCGTTACTTGAGGTGGATGTTCAATTCTATTTCCATCCTCTATTTGTTATACTCAAAAATTGAAAATTGGAAAGTTTAAAAAAAAATAGCATAATTAAAATTAAAATCAAATTTAAAAGTAATATAAAACTATTAAAAAAAGRAAGTTGTAATATTTTTTAATATACACTTTTTTTCACTGTTTTTTAAATACAAATTGAGTATATGCCATAACGAAATTTCTTTAAATTTTAGAACTGCATGGGAAAAAATGGAAATTATAAGATACTATCTCTTTTGGTAATTAAATATATGGTTATAATTTTGGAAATTATAAATTTACAATAAAGAGGAAGAACGGCGATTGCGTAAATCTCGGATATTTCGGCGAAAAACGAAATTATTTGTCGTATCGGACCCACACAATCCAACTCCCATCATGACCTCCAAAAAGGCTTCGAAATCTCAACCGTCCGATCAACCACGCATCCGACGGCGCCAATCACTTCATCTTTCCCGCCGTTTGCAGACTGTTTCCATTTACTCTAATGGGCGCAAATGGACGCAGCAGCTTCCAAAAACATTTCACCTTCCATTTTCTACTTTCCCCTTTTCCTTTCTCTTCTTTMTAATTAATTTTAATTATTATCATTTTTCAGTTTGCAGCCCCAGAAACAGACTCCATTCTCTATTCATTTTTCTTCTCTCTCCGATTTCTCTTCTCCCTTTCCTTTTTCCAGAAATTTCCGAGAAATTTCAGTGTTTCTCTCTCTGTATCGATCGACCCAGAAGTTGGAGTTGCTTCTAATTGCATTTGGACATGGTAAGAATGGATGGTTCCTCTGTCTTTTGCTGTTTTGGGGGTGTTTTTATTTAAGGTTTTCTTCTTTTTTAATTTCTTGTTTTTATGGTTCAATCATGTGATTTTCAGCCASCCAGATTGTTTCTCTCCGTTGTTAATCGTGAAATGTTGATATCGGGTGTTACTGGATCACTTTGTTTGAGTTCTCTTTGCCATTATTAACTGCTGATTGTTGAGAGCATGCTCTGTTTACTATCCAAACAGGTTTGGTTGTAAAGAAGATCGTAAGAATTTTGAACATTCTTGGACTTAGAACTGATTGTCTTGTATTTTAGATGCATTATGTATCATACAATTTCCCTCTTATTGAGTTTAGTTGGTTGATTGTGACTGTTTTGAGAGTATAATCTATAGTTTTTATAAACAATGGCCAGACCTTACATCCTTGGATTTAGAATTTATTGTCTTGTATTTTAGATGTATTATGTATGTACAATTTTCCTCTTATTGAGTTTAGTTGGTTGATTGTGACTGTTTTGAGAGTATAATATATAGYTTTTACATACAATACCCAGACCTTACATGATTAAATTGGTAACTCTGATAGTTCAATTTGAAGTCAGTTTCTTTCACATTTTATGATGTCTAAATGCGTATTGTTTGGTTCATTTTGGGATTCCCTTTTCATTTGGCAGACCAATCTCACAATGTATTGTTGTTATCTCTRTCCAATTTCACTAAGTGTTCGATTTTGGCCCCGGGTGGGGATCTGTGAAGTAGCAAATTGAATAGTTGGACTTGCTTTTTGCAGGCAGGATGCAAGATTTATCTGAAGAAAAGGAAAGCGGATTGGCTTAGTTCTCTTTTGCAAAGCAAATTTTTTGGTTCTTGTGGTCATCATCAAAACAACCGGAAAAATGAGAAGAACGTGTTCTGTTTAGACTGTGGCGTTGCCATCTGCAGGCATTGCCTGATCTCTCATTGCATTCATCGGCGCCTACAGATCTGCAAGTACGTCTATCAGTATGTCGTCCGGGTGCACGACTTGCAGAACCACCTTGATTGTTGCAACATTCAGGTATCCCTTCAGTACCACCTTAAATTATGCAAACTTCTAGCTCTAAAGTTGTATTGTTATCTGTTGCTTCTGGTGCAAGTTGTAACCATTTCAAAAGTCACATTATTGTCTTGTTTTCAAACTGCCACCAATCAGAATAATATGTTTTCTTCGATCGAGTCTATTCTCGTAAATGAAAAATGACTCCCAGAGGAACAACCRGGAAGCAGTGAATTCAATCACAAAAGGAAAAGTTCTGTTATTGGTACATTGGAATTCTTTTTGGTCAATGATCGAGTGTTCTAGTGATGGCATAAGTACAAGTAAGAGTGATAGTACTTGGACTGATAGCTGTCTATTGTAGTAGTATAAATCACGAATATTCTCTCGTTCGAGGCTATTTCCACGATTCGACTTGCTAGCTAAATACATTACTTCTTATACTCACCCCCTTCCCCATGATGGTTATGGTAAATTTAGGACTAAAGTATTGAATGTTCGATTCACCAGACATATAAGATAAACGGGGAGAAGGCTGTTCATCTGAGTCCCCGTCCACAGTCAAAAGATTCGAAACCGTCGACAAAGTTGAAGTTTGGAGGTACTTGTGAAGCTTGCGGGAGATACATACAAGACTTGCCTAACCGCTTTTGCTCAATCGCTTGCAAAGTAAATGAAATTTCCTTGTCATCTGTTTCAACACTTTCACATATCTCACTAGATTAAACTCAGTGATTAACAACTTTTTCAGGTGTCTATGGCTCCAGTGGAACTCAATGATCAAAGCAGCAGATTCATGGCTTCGGAGCCGAATCTTAAAGACCTTACATGCAAGGAAAATCACAACCCAGAAACAAACACAAGTGAAATTGAATCATCTATATCAATGGCTGAATCAACTGAAGAGATCAAAGCATGGCGAACGAAGTCATCCTTGAACGCAAAGAAGCTTCTGCACAAAAGGAAAGGCATTCCGCACCGATCACCTCTAAAGTAACGTAAACTTATGACAATCGATACCTTTTTTTCCCTATCCCACATTTTTTCACATATCACATTCCTATMAGCACACAAGTATAGATATAACAACATATATTTCAACTCTTGCATTGGCTGTTTATTGGGTTGGTTGTGTTTTAGCCTCTTTTATTTGTTTGTGCCAATTTTTTTGGAGGTTGTACAGAGGAGGGAGAGAGTTGGCTGTGGAAACAATAATCTAATAATGAACCTTTTTTATATTTAATTCTTTGCTTAATCTAAAACATCATGTGTTTACTTTGCTAGCGCATGCCATTGAAGACATTATGATTGACTTTGGCCTCTTAGCCTTAACCTTTTTTTGTGAGAATTTTCCTCTTCATGTTCCCAAAATTTCTCTCTCTTCCCTTTATGGGCCGCCATTTTCTCTCTCTGGCCCAATTTGATATGTGGTGGTTGTTATTGGGGGCCCAAAAATCTCTCATTTTTTGTCCTCAATAAGAACGTGGCAGACAAGGCTGAGAGGGTGGCCACACTCCATGGTTTCCAGTCTTGGTCAACAAAATACAGAACATAATTTCTAAAAAATAGTCGGTGGGTAAATTGGTCTTTTTGACTTACTCAAGATTTAAGATTCACTAAATCCAATTATTATATTAGAAAGGCTTTCAAGTTTGAATGAGCTTCACTTTTGTAGAGGTGAAAATAGTTTTAGCCCACTGGAATTGTTTCTCTAATTTCTTTTGACTTATTAATTTGATAATAAATCATATATATAAAAAGACTTATATTAATGTGAGAAATTTGGTATTATATATCTGACATGTCAAGTATCCATAGGTTCGACATTAACATGAGTGGTAAATCGATGTTTCTATCATTGTATAAAAAAAGTCTATAAAATCTTTAAAATATCGAACAAAATTTTACAAATATATATATAATATTAATATTAATCATTTTTAACTTATTTAGAAATAGAAAAATAAAATAAATATTTTTTTTATCATTTTTAGGTATCCACCATTTTAGAGATATTTTCATAAAATTGAGAKGTCGTCTTTCCCACCTCGCTAAAAAAAAGCATTTTACATTTATCCAATAAGATTGGACTTTTTCTTTGTTTGATAAAGTAATAAGATAAGATTTAGAAATTAGTTGTAATTGAAAAATAATTAATTTTGGGGTTCTGACAAGAAGTAAATGGAGGGCTTATCCGGGGGAGGAATTTCGAGCTTTCCTTCCAACATCTTCACGACTTTCCCCATCGGCGGCCGCATCTCCGGCTGGTTCTGAAGGCACCACATCGCCGTTGAAACCATACGATTTACCATAGCAAAATGGGATCCGCTGTCGTACTCATTCCTAATCCGACGGTCTAGAATCTCTTCGATCTTCTCCTCCACGAACGCTTTCTCGAACGCCCATCCCGGAAAGTACCAATCCGCGCTCTCCACCGTCGATCTTTTCGTCTCGAAGTTCCTCGTCCCGCTGATGATCTCCAGCAGCACCATTCCGAAGCTGTACACGTCGGCCTTCGTCGTTATTGAATTCGAACCCAATTTCACCAGCTCCGGCGCCACGTAACCCGGCGTCCCTCTGATCCGAGACATGCTCACCGCCGTCTCGTCGTTTTTCCTCAGTTTCGACAGCCCGAAATCCGATAGTTTCGGGCAGAAATCGTTGTCCAGAAGGATGTTTTCGGGTTTTATGTCTCGATGTAACACCCACTCCAGACATTCCTCGTGCAGATACGCGATTGCTCTGGCCACTCCTATGGCGATTCGGTACCGGACGCTCCAATCGAGTGAGGGGTTTTCTCCGGCCGTCTCTGTTGCGTCCGTCTCCGAATCAGAGGGCTGCGGTTTGATGAACAGGAATTTGTCGAGAGATCCATTGGGGATGTACTCGTAGACCAGCATTCTTTGACCCTTTTCGGCGCAGAATCCCCACAATCGGAGCAAGTTGAGGTGGTGCATTCGGGCGATGATGGTGACCTCTGACCAGAAGTCGCCGTCGCCGCCGGCAACGTTTTTCAAACACTTGACGGCGACCACGCGTTTATCCGGCAACTCCCCTTTGAAGACCTCGCCGAATCCGCCTCTTCCGATGGAGTTCGAGAAGTCGTTGGTGGCAGTTTTCAGCTCGGCGTAGGTGAACCGCTTCGGCCCGCCGGCGGGGAGCGACTCCAGACCGAGCGTGCGAGCCATGTCTCTGTATTTTACGAATCTCTTCAAGAATGCACAGAAGAAAACCGCCCCCGAAATTAGTTCCGCCACGAATATGGAGATGATTATCAGTACGTTTCTGGTGGTGTTGTCTTTATCTTCCGGCGGCGGGCGGAGGGTGATGTGAACCGGACACGTCGATTCGAGTCTGTACATCATTCCGGTGAAGTTTGAGCGATCAGTTTCCGAATTTTCGACCTTCACAAAGGCAGCTTTCTTCATCCCGGGCGACCACAACCCGTTCGACAAAATGTCTAACTGAAGCGCACACACAGCGCTTCCATCGAAACTGAACGTATACCCAACGCAGCTCGCATTCTTCACGCAATTCGCTTCACACATCGAAATATTCATGACTTGCAAGGAAATTTCTCTAACCCCACCTCTGAAAGTCACAAAATCGAGCGGAAGAAACTTGACTTTCTTTGATACCTTGAGTTTCCGGTGGCATCCTTGCCGTGCTCCGCCGCGAGAATCCGGGATGAATCCCGGAGGGCAGACGCAGTAGGTGGAATTGTAGCTGCCACCACTCATACAAATGGAGTTCGGGCCACAAGTTGCATAAATCTGACACAACTCAACGTGCGCTTGCCAAACCACACCCCACCGCTGGAGATTGGAGTTGAAGCTGAAAATCTTGAGGTTCCCATCATCATCAACAACCAATTTCCGCAGTCGGGTCGAGTTAAAATCAGAGGGGAAAATTGGGCCTTGGTTGTTTCTGATGATTCGACCATCAGTTTGAAAAATATTGAAGGGATTTCCGGAGTTCCAATACGTAGCTGTACCAAACGTCAAATTAACAGAGTTCTTGAACTCATATTTGCCGTTGTTGGAGACGATGGTGGTTTCGTTAAACGTCTGATTTGGCAAAATGGTGTTGGTGGGGAATTGGAAGCTCTCCCACGTTGCGTAGATAAGATCCCCATCGTCGCGAAGCATCAGTTTCGTCGAATTTGGATTCCCAAAAACATTGTTAGAAGGCCAGAGGTTTYGGCCGGAGCCGTCGTTGAGACGGAGCTGGCCGGAGGACGTGATGGCCAGAGCCGCCGAGCGGTTTACCGGAGAAAGACGATTGGCGGACCAAACGACGTTGTCGGTGGAGACGTTGAGGAACCAAACGGAGAAGACGTAGAGATTGGAGTTGTTGGTTGATGGGCGGAAGCCGGMGGCGAAAAGGGAGTTGGGCGAGAGGAGAATGAGGTTTTGTTCAGGCCGCCATGGGGATTGGGAGATGGAGAAGGCGGAGAAGTTGCGGGGCTTGRGTGCCGGCGGCGGTTGGGCGGCCGCCGGAGATGTGAAGAAGAAGAGAAGGCAGAGGAGGGGAAGAGACATGATTAGGATTTTTGGTGGCGGAAAAAATGGAGAGACTAAAAGGGACTTTGTTTGGTGAAGTGGTGGATCCTCCAATTCCATTCAACAAATGTGAGCTCAGATGAAAGCAAGACTGAATTTGAAATTTTGAATAGTGAAATTCAAAGTCAACGAAGTTGAGGAATTTCTTTGCCCTTATTTTATGCCAAGATTTTGTGTAACCCTTGGGGCAAATATTTAATGTGCCAAAATCTAAGTTTTTTTTATGTGAAATTATGCCTCGTCTCTCATTATTTATCTTACTTTTCATCTATATTTTTCTTGTGTTTCTCTCTCTTCTTTCCAAACTCTTTTTCTCTCTCTCTCCTCTCATTCTTCCAATTCTTCCTCTTCTTCTCATATGAGAGGAAGACTGAATTTGAACAGTGAAATTCAAAGTCAATGAAGGTGGAAAGAAGTTCCTTGCCCTTTGTCATATGCCAAAGAGAATAAGTCTAGTCTTGTGCAGATCTTACGCTCTGTTGCKGGATGAATCTTAAGGTTCGTTACTTTTCATCTATATAGCGAGACTTATCTCTATATTTTTAATTTTTGTTCATTTCTAGTCTTGTACTTTCAAGACCTATTTTGATTTTCATACTTATAAAAAGTGGCGATTTTGATTCATATTTGCAAAATTTTAAAATAAATTGTATACACAATGGAAATCTTTTAAATCAAATTTATGGCAACATTTCAAAAAGTTTAATGAGTGAAATACCATGTTAAAATTTTGATAAAATAAGTAAGATAAAAATAAAAATAAAAGAACCAAAATGGTCACCTTCAAAAATACAATGACAAAAAAAAAAAAAAAACGTTTCAAAAGTACAATTTTGAAAACAAAGAACAGGAACTAGACCAAAATGAATAAAAGTAAAAACTATAGGGACGGAAATAGTATCTAAATAAAAACCCGTAGGGCCATTTAGCCATAAATCTCATTTTATCACTAAAACTCACACGCCCTCTATTTTTACCCTATTAAAACTTTAATACAACTGGCCTAATATAACCAATCAACTTAACTTGCAAACTATTAATTATTATTAAAGAGATAACTAAACTAAAAGAAACTAAAGTGAAAATCGATAAAAACTAAAAAAGAGTAATTTAAAACCCCACTTGTTTTTCAACCTCTCCACAAAATCACGGAAAAAAAAAAGAAAATTATAATTTTTATAGTTGAAACAGAAGCAACAAAGTTACTTCTTGTAGTTGTAACTCTGCGATCCCCCCAAAGCACAAAAATTATCCAACAGTTTTTGTCAAAATTATATGAAATCAATACCCATGAACTTGTATTATATTAATTTCATCATTTCTCCTGTTCTTCGCATAATCTTTCTCAGAAATCTCTCTCGATTGGGATTCGATTCGATTGTGTTACGATGCAGAGGAGATTCCGGCGAGTTCTCACCACCGTCAAAGAGAATTGCTCCGTCGGCTACGCCAAAATCGTCACAGCCGGAGGATTCAGCGACGTCGATCTCATAGTCGTTAAAGCCACTGCTCCAAATGACTCGCCGTTGCCGGAGAAGTACGTTCAGGAGCTCCTCAAGATCTTCGCCTTCTCTCCGCCGTCGTTTCGAGCATTTTCGATCAGCTTTTCCCGTCGATTTCGCAACACTCGCTGTTGGCGAGTTGGACTCAAGTGTCTGCTTCTCCTCCACAGATTGCTCCAATCAGTCTCCGAGAACACGGAATTCCGATCGGAGCTTCTTCGCTGCCGCGCCAGCGGCTGGATCTTTCTCCATCAGCGCCAAATCCGAGACGACGAAGATTACGCCTCTTTCATCAGATCTTACTCTCTGTTGCTGGATGAATCTCTGAATTGCGACCTGTTCTACGACGCCAACTCGCCGGACGATTCCGGAGACGAAGCGATCGGAACAATTTCGAGTAGAATCAGCGAAATTAACAGAGCGATTGAAATATTATCACAGATGCAGAGCCTAATCGACAGAGTGATCGATTGCAGGCCGGCCGGGAGAGCTGCGCGAAGCTTCGCAATCCGATTCGCGATGAAGCACATAGTCCGCGAGAGCTTCATTTGCTATCGGATCTTCTGTAGAGATATCGGTTCAATCGAAGACAACCTTCTGCAATTGCCGTACCGGAGTTGCGCTGCGGCAATTGAAATATACAAGAAGGCCGCGGTTCAAGCAAATCAACTATCGGAGCTCTACGGCTGGTGCAAGCAGATGGGAGTTTGCGCGGCGTATGAATTCCCGGACGTCGTCCGCATACCGGAATCACGGATCCAGGCTCTAGAAGAATTCGTCGGCAGAATGTGGGAGTTGACGGAATCATCGTCTTTATCGTCGCCGTCGGATTCTCCGCCATGGGCAAATGATGAGGCAGTGAACGAAGTTGTTGTAACAGGAAACAGTGAGTGGGAAACTTTTGAGGGTGATGATTTAGCAGAGGAGTGGAGAAAGGAGAAGGCACTGATTGATCTTGGAGTGGAAGAGGAGGAAGAAGAAGAGAGTGGGTGTAGCTGGGAGGATTTGCTCGAAGCTTCTGCTGGCTTGAAATCATCTCACCATTGGGACCAAAATCCAGGGGAACAAACTGGAAATATTCAGCTTTACAATCCCACTTCTATCAACCCTTTCCACCATGACTGTTTCTTCCCAACACTCATGCAAAAACCACCTACAACTCTTATAAATATCTCCGACTTCTGYCGACCTGAACCTAGTTCATCTAGTTAATTTCCATCCCGACATATTGTACTAAAAAAATATACAACCYGAACTTCCAAGTCCACCTATTACTATACCTTGTGACATGCTGTATTGTAAAAAAATTCACAAAATATAAATATAAAAAAATTATCAATAGTATTAACATAATATTAATATTAATAAATTTTAATTGGTTTAAAGAGTTAAATGTTCTTTGTTTTGTTTTTTTTTAAATATTTGTTATGATCTTTTTTAATTTTGTAGTTTTCCCAAGAGATATCACGACATCTAACCAATATTTCCATAAAATTAATAAGACTTTTAAAACCTTGACATAAACTATCCATAAACTATAAATATTAATAATATCAAACCCTAAACATTGATTTGTTATTATAATCATACTCTCCAACTCAAAGTTGTTAGCAATAAGATGGAGCCACCGATCGTGCTTCAACAATAATTTAAATGCAAGATATCTGAACCAATAAAGAGCCAAGTATTTTTTCTATTGAGCTCGCTCAAGTTTGCAAATTGTTCTCTAAAATAAAATCATCGGTTTTAGAAAAATGTTTTAAGAGTAGAGGCAGGACACAAAGATTGAATAACAGAGAGGGTGATAAAAGTGGGGATCATGTAGGAACCTCATGAGAGATTGATTCAATACCACCCTCATCTGGAATTAGGGTGAAAATTGTTCTACCAAACTAGGCAGGGCAAGGAAGAAGCCCCCACAATTCACAATAATCTTCAACARYTCACTATCTAATGGCTTRCACAACAAATATACTCTCGGTGGGGGCAAAATATATGATATGATACATACCTCTATTCTCTTTTGAATTTTAAATAAGTTACAACAGTTCTCAACAATTCCTCTCCAATGTCTTGTCCTGTCCCTTTACGAATTCCTCGTCAATATTGGAGTGGACACGGACATTTATTCCCCCACGGAAGGCTTGGCTATTGTCAATAAATTACAACACTGTCTCCCTCTCCATCGATGAATCGATCTTTACAAGAYGAACTGATGGATGTTCACTCCCCCATAGGCAGATTAGATATCATGTTTGCAGTTGAACTTCATGATAAAAATGATCAACAGCTTATTTCCGATGCCTCCGCTTCTGATCTGCTCTCATTCTCTTCTCATCATCCCACTCTCGATCGTACATTCTAAATTCTGGTTAAGGAGTAGATGCAAATTAAACACATCTCCTAAGCCCATATTGAGATAAATGCATGAAAACTAGAAGGTTAAAATACATTGTTTGATCACACAGGTAACTTAACAAAGTATCTAATAGCTCTTTCAAGTTTTAATTTTATGTTTAAYAAGTTCCAAAACTTCTAAAAAGGTCTAACAGGTCTTCTTAACTTTCAATTTTGTCTAATAAGTCACTGAGGTTTTTTAAAATGCCTAATAGGTTAACTTATTAGACAAAGAATTCAAAGACAACTAAGAAAGTAATGATCATGCACAATGCAAGGTGATACGATAGGAAGGATACAGATCAGCTTCACGCCTGGTCATCTTGTTGACCACTTCTTTACTATGAATTCTTAGGCCTGGATCATCCAAGTAACCGGCACGCTGCATCATTACTCCTTTTCGGTCTCCTCTTTCTCGTCCATCATAAGATTGAGACACACCAGCACCTATCGGAGGTGGCGGTGGGCCAACAGGAGAATACTCRCCAGCCTCAGCTAATGAAAGATGCTCCCTTTTAAGTTTTCGCCTCTTGGAGGCAGCAGAAGCATCCATGTCCTCCTTCAAAACGTTTGCCTTTTCCCTCTCCCTTTCCCTCTCCCTGTCATCCACCTATATGAAACAAAAGACTTGCACCATGAACGAGAGTTCAATTTACTATTTCTGAAAAAATGTTGCGACTTTTACAATGCTGCTTGGTTTAGATTTCAAACACTTGGATAAATCTTTTAGGTTTGGTCACCATGTAGAACTTCAGAAAATAAACATAACTTTCCATTAAAAATAATCCCAATTTCCTTAACATGACAAGATTTAAATCCCTCTTGGCCCTCTTGGCTCAACCCATGAAACTTTAAAATCTTTTTTCCAAAATCAGCTCCCATTATGAGTCAAAGATAGATTGATCGACACATCCCATGGCACTAATTGGGATTGGGAAATCCTCTATTAAATCAACTTTCTTAAGGCAAACGCATAAACTTATCACCTTAGTAGTGATTTCAACAAAATACAAGACTAAGTGTCATATTAAGTAAAATGATGAAAATAAAAGTTCCCTTCTACCTGCATATAGAGAAACACACTGCTTAAACTAATTTTGCAGTCTGCAAAAAGGTAAATGACATCAAATTAATTGCATTGAATTTGATTAAAGCCTACCTTCAATGACATCTCTTCTCTCTTTCTTTCTCGGAATTCCTCTTCTCTTCTGCGTTTTGCATCATCCTGTGAAATTAAGTTTTCCTCTGAACGTCTTCGTTCCTTCTCTTCATGTCGAGGAGAAAGCCTTTGTGTGTGTCTAGTAGTTCCAAACCTCCTATCTGCATCTTCATCTCTTCTCCCACTATTAACAGATTGAGGGACCATGTGGGGAGGCAAGGGGGGCGGAGGTGGCAAGCTCTGCCCGTGGAACCGATCATCAACATGAGACTTATCTATGGTTGTATCACTATATCGTAATTTGACCCTATCATCTTTATTTCTTTCATCCTTAGACTTGTCAGGATACCTATCAGAAACTCTCTCTACTTTCTCAACCGAGCGCTCTCTTCCATATCTTTCTATTGATCTATCTCTTGTTCTTTCTACTGAAGGATCGTCTCCACGGGACTTTTCAGGACGCTCTACTCTGTCCCTGTAGTCCCTATCATATCTTTCATTTACCTTATCTTTTGTTCTATCTAAAGTTTTATCTGAACCCCTGTAACCACTTTGTTCATCCGTTCCTATTTTATCAGTATCTACAGATCGTGGGTCAGTGGATCTATCTTTGTCAGAGATGCGAAAATCTCCATCTAAATCTCTAGTTTCACCATCTCCTTTCCGGCGTTTACCTTGTCTGTCTGGTTCTTCTGCAGGACTAGCTCTTTTCTGCAGCTTATCACTAGATCTAGAACCACTGGCAGAATTATCATGTCTGGGGGAATGGGCGAGTCTGGAAGAAGAGGATCTTGCAACTTCAAGAGCTTCAGTGCCATCATCCTTTACTGATGCAGCCCTACTATCAGAAGTCCTCCCAATCCCACTCTCKGCCTTTGATTCAATAGCATTCACATCTGAAGCTTTTACTGAAGAGGACGGGCCTCGAGTTGATGAAATTTGTGTATTACCATTTGCCATAACTGAAGAAGGTACACTGGAAGAACCTCCATGCCTACCACCGTCTGTTGCATAAATTGAAAGCTCTCTATCACTTGTGGAAGACCCAGGATTCTTGCTAGCAGCTTTTCCCGATCTAGTCTCATCTTTCGTAGTATCTTGTTTTGGTGCTTTATTAAGAGATCCAGCAGGTGCTGATCGTTTTGCTGAAACTCTCAACTGTCAACATGACAATATAAAAAATCAGAACTCAGCAGAGGCGCACACACAAACACAAAGTCAAATGCTCACTAATACTATGATTTAATACTACCTCAGATTCAGAAGAGGTCTTTGAAATAACTTTTGATGAGCTTTCATCCAAAGTCCTACTTAAGTCATCACCTGGTTTTTGACTTTCCACCATTCTTAACGACCCTGAATGGACAGACGTTGAGGGCGGCAGTGGCTGAGAATCTGGCCCATTTGATGAAGTGCTTTTCAATTTACCATGCCCTAGTTCAGATTTTGGAACAGAAAGACCTTCTATTTTATCCGTTCTCACATCAGAAGCTCTYGACCTCAATGAATGGTCTTTGGCCATATTTCCAGAATCTGAATTTGGGATGGCTAGTGCAGCAGTCTTTCCTCCACCAGGTTCACTTTGGGAAAGATAAATGGAATTACTTTGGCCCGCAGCTAAATTACTAGCTGAAGACTTTGCTGCAAGAGATGGTGCAGTCTTTAATTCAAGATATCCCATCCCAAATTCTTCATCCGTAACCCATGAAGGCTGTAGAATGAAAGAACATTAATGGAGCAATTAAAACTGAGAAGATAAACACCATAAAAAAACAGCGACAAACCTTTCTAGCAGCCAAGGCCGCAGCAACACCAGTAGCTAACACCTTCAGATCTTCTCTCTCATCGCTTTTGATCTTAGCAACCTACAACAGGAAGAATTCTTAGTTGACATTAACAAAGAGAAATTTAAGAAGAGCACTGAAGATGTCCTACCCGTTTTTCAAGGTTGATCCCACTCTTTCTAGTGACAGGAAAAACGTTGGAAATTTTTGTCAACATAATAAGAGCATTTCTAATTTCCATGTACTCTGTAGATTCCAAGCATTGAATCAGTAACCGTGTAATTCTTTGACTCCACTTCCAATGAACCTATAAGAAAAACAATTAACGAAGTATTAAATAAAGTGACAGAAATATAGTAGTACTGTACATGAAAAATTAAACAATGAAATAGTTAACTAGTTAAATTGTAAACACATCAGTATGATAAGGAAATTTAATCTTCYTTTTTTTATTGATATCCGTGTGTCTAGGCCAGCTTGTTTGCACCTCGACTATTCACGGACCAACCGCCTGACCCTACTACATTTTGTTGACAAGGAAACTCGTAGGATGTTAAATCCTAAGTAGGTGGCCACTATGGTTTGAACCCATTCCCTCTAAGTCTTTTGCTATTTACATTGGCCCTCATTGACTACTTGAGCCATCTCATGATGGTTAAGGAAATTAAATTGAAAATTTATTCTATGACGACAAAAAAAAAGAATGAAAGAAAAACTTAAGATTGATAAAACCACAGAATACTGATAGTAGCCAACTCTGAAGAAATGAAGCCAAAGAAGAAAATCTCACAAGGTTTATAATACCCTACACCATAACTGCAAATTAGTTATCCAATAGATCTAAAAGAGGGGAAAAAGGACAGCTTTTATGAAATTGACTTATTAGAKTTTTACCAGCAATGGACTTGCTATATGTAAAGAGATATCCTTGCAATACGACGACTTAATCATRAACATGAATGTTCGTTCAGGAAACCTAGTGTCGTTATTCATCACAATGCACATAGCATATGCAAAAACAATTTGTGATGAAAATGGTAGAAGTTCAAGAAGCACCTTGATGAACTGGCCGTACGTTACTCTTTGGCTGTTTGGATACCTATAATAGACAGCAAATCCAGGCATATTTCCACATTCACGTTCATAAACGGATTCATCACTCTGACAAAATGATCGATCAACATGAAGAAATGAAGATGGGGAAGAACCCAGTAACAGAATTCAAGCACTTTTCCGAATGATGTATAACTTTTTTAACTTCATTTGGTCTTCAGCATAAGTAAAGAAASATGAAGTGATCAATTACCTTCCAATGATAAGCTATCTTTAGTGTCTCATATAAAAACCTTCCAAGCCTGCCTGCTTCATATTCCGTACAGCAGCAAATCATGGGTTGCAAGGTTTTACATATCAAAACATCAATATGGTTGACTGTATTAAAGAAAGGTGTTCCAAGGGAATGAAGAGTGTGCACAAACATAGCACAATAGACAGCATCAGGCATACTGAATGTACAGCGGGGAAAAATACATCGCTGAAGGAACTCCATATTAATTTTCAAAGTATCAGGACAGGAGCTCAACCATTTATCTTTTTCACGAGAAAGTCGTCTACGAAYGGATGCAACATTCTCTTCATGCTTAACGAGTTCATTGGACAGGCGATCAAGAGATTCTTGAATTCTTTCTTTGTCTTTCTTCCTTTTRTTGATTGCAGAACTTGAGTTATCAGAGAGCTCTTCTAAAGCTTTTAGAGAAGAATGCTGCTTAGCAATTTCAGATTCATATCGACTCCGAGGAACGTAAAGATCATAGAGTGTGAGACCCCAAAACGTAGTATAGAGATCAGGAGACAAGCTATTCCAAGCTTTTGGAGGTAACATAGACTTCACAGTATCAAGAAGATCCGGCCACCTATAAAAAGAAGTTGAAGAAAATTAGCAACCATAACATCAAATTGCAAACTGTGACCTCCCTACTTTGTCATAAAAAAGAGGAAAAGTTTGACTTCAAGTGTCATGGTGGCGTGGAATTTCTGTGTCTGTCAGTACTTCTTAGTAGCTTACATAGTGTTATTATATGATGAAAACTATCCTTGCTGGGTTAAGAAAACACAGCTAAAATCAACCAGAGAACACTCTACGGAATGAACATCTTGTATAATTTCTCAGTATGCCAAAAAAGGCGGAGGGGTTACAATTCCATTTGATTCTAAACTCAGATCCTATCACAGTATTTCGGAACTATGTTTTATCAATAGTCTTAGTAGTGCATAATTTAATCATACTGAATAAATTGAACAAGCAACTTGAGTGCATTTATAACTCTAAAGCTGAAAAGAAATAGATGCCTTGCCTCACAGGTTTTTGTGAAGAACCAAGATCCAAAATGACATCAGCAGAACATTCTGCAGGTTCAGAATCAGAATTATTGCCTGCAACATTAGCATCATTGCCATCCAGTGGCCAGAAGATATCAGAACCACCTTGACACTTGAATAGCCTCATTATTGGCCGGTATATCAAGAAAGCAACCTAGAAAAGGGAGAAAGAGTCCTATCAGACATAATTTAAGAGCATGCAAAAGAACTTTAAAGTAGAATGAATTTGGAAAAGTTACATTACATAAACAGAAAGGACATATATATATCAAGGGTAGTTCAATGATGAGAAACCACCAACCAGACATAAAAACACAAACCCAAGAACAAAGAAATCATACAACAATGACACACACACAAAGAGWTGGACCTCGGGATCTAGGTGATAAAGATGTGCAAGCTCATTGAGTGAGGGAATCAATTGAGCATAAGCTGATGCAGGCGTGATTGCACTACTAAGAAATTCCACATATTGAAGCAGAGTTCCATGACATCTATCAAACTGCTCGCTCACCATCTTTATATACGGAGCATCTGCATTTATAACAACCCTGAAGTAAACAGATCATACGTCAGTCCACATATTTCAAAGCACTAAGAACTACTAAGAATTTTTTATAGTTAGAACAGGTGAAAAGAAAAAAATGGGAGATACGAAAAAGTCAAATAAATCAAATCACAGTACTGAAGCTGCTAAATGTATCAACGGACATCTCAAATGATTGAATTACGATTCACTTATAGAAAGAGCAGCGGTAGTGGAAATCATAACTGAATGGCACTGAYAGAAGGCACAATAATGACACCATGGGCAGCCCACCCAGAAGTTAACTGGTTCTAACTCTAAGTACCCTTCTCATTATCAAACAAAGTAACAAAGTAACAAAGCATACACTGAAATCATACACTGAACGGTGTTGAGCAATAAGTAGCAAAAGGGGGACCGCCAATTCTTTTTCATCCTTAGGAAGCAATGAGTCACGCAGTCTGTTGCTTGACTTGATCAATGCCTGCATTATTCAAGATGAGAAACCACAAAAATACTGAAGATCCTAACAGTTCTTTTCTTCCGACAGAAAAATGATAAAAAAAGAATGATATAATAACTCTAAATTAATCAACAAATCACCACGCTTKTGTAGTCCAGAATGGCAAATAACTTTCAGATAACAGAGTGTAAAATCACAAATGGAATACAAAAAATATCTGGTTTAAAAATCTATACGTCCATTAACCTGATGAAAAGATGTTTGGGCCACATCAGGCGGACTTAAGCATGAAGTGAAAAAAAAATGCGAGACACATTTTAAATATGTATAAATATATAGTACAGTATTATGAATAATAAGATGATGAAAATTTTAAGAAATTAAAAGATCGCGGAATATATGAGTACTTTTAAGAGAATCTTTTAGTTTCTTTATAAAATATTAAAAAAAATATAATATACAGCTTCAGATGCACACCTCAGAGCACTTCTACGGGGGGCGTCACCTTGCCTGGTTTTTTGGAAAGGCATGCTTATTTACGATTGGAAGTGCTTCATGTAACCTCTTTGAGTCTTTGTTATCTCTTTTGTAATTTCGTGTTATCAATGAAATTGTTTCTTTCAAAAAAAAAAAAATGCTGGACCACATCGTAGAAAAATTATCTTTTCTTCTTTCTTTTTTTGATAAGAAACCATGCATCAGACAGGAAGATATTTATTTAAACAGCAAAATAGCCACTAACTAAAAATTCCTAAGTACCAAACCCCATCAGGACTCCAGGCACTCCAACTGCTATCTACGTCTATATACTTCAATGATGCTCAGTTTCTAATAAAGAAAGGGGAAGAAGAAAATTATATTGCCCATCAATACAACACCTTGTTATTTCGAGTAACTCCAAAAGAAGTTGCTTGATAACGAAGTGTCTCACTTCCTGCCATAGCATCCAGCTGTTCCTCAGTTAGGTTTTCTGTGTATTGGACATTGGCCATTTGTTGAACAAGTTCCTGATTATGTAACGAAAACATCTCTAAGCACGAAGCAAATATTGAAATATCAAAGTATTGGGGTGGTAAAACATCTAGATATTGGGTCATTGACTAACACAAAACATCCCTTCCCGTTCTGAAAAGTACCTGTAGGAGAACAAGCTCAATTCCTTGACCTTTTTTCAACTGATTAACGAGATACTGAAACAAACCCCTTAGTTCCATAGATGGGTACTTCTTACACCTACCAACAGCAAGAGTCCAAATAATAAATCAATAAATATATGGCATATATGGGAGATAAAAGTGAAAAATATTTGCATGCAAAAAGAATGATATTACTTTATCTACATCATGGTAAAACGAGCAAAATTATATACAAGAAATTAATTTTCTTTCAAAAAACTATATTTGAAAAAGATGAAAGTTTTATCCATAAACACTAATGTCAGCAGTTTTACCATTTCGTGACCATCCAAATAAATAATGCTGCATTATATATAAGAATGCACAAAAATATTTTAGATTAGAACCCAAAAGCTTCTTGTTTTAGAAAAAGAAGAACAGGCTGCAAGGAGCTAAAAGAATCTCCAATCCCTATACATAGAAACCAAGGAGTAATTACAATACATATTTGATCTAATAGACCAAATTATTACATCCTGAATCTGATCAACTGTCTTCTCCACATCATAAAAAATAACTCTTATGCATTCAAGACAAACTTCTCAAAGGACAGCAGTAAACCATTCACTCAAAAGTCTTCGGAGGTAGAAGAAAAAGGAAATCAATCACATGGATGGCTTCCTTCTATGAATATTCTTTAGTGGGAATGTTAACAACTTCTAGAGTGCAACAAAAGGAAATAGTCAGGAACAACTTGCAAAATGTAAATCAGAGAGAGTTCATCTGAAAAATGAGAACCAAATTCAAACCACAAAAATATTATTAAATATATATCTAAATTGCACATTGGATCGAAGAAACTAGAAGCAAAAGGGAAATATCCACAAAACTAAATTAGCTTTACTTCTTTAGGAACAACGAGCTTCCATCAAGACAAAAAAATTTGCAACGACACAGGTGGTCAAGGCACTCTGATCTAAACATTAGAATCCAAAACAACAATATGACTAATGTAATGCAGAATTTAACTCATTGAGAAAAACCCTACAGAACTGGTTGCAGTCAAAATTACTTATAGTGGAATCATATTTTTTTCTTCTGTTCATACTAAGTACATAACATAATTACCTATTGAGTAAAAGAAAAAGAAAGCAAATTTCACGTCCCGATTAAACCATTCCCATTCCTTGAACGTTGGACCAGCCCCAAAACCCTCAAAGAGGAGTCCAACAAGAAGCTCAAATAAAGAAAAGGCAGCACAGAACTCCCAATTAATCCTACTCGGTTTCTGTTCACTTCAGTTGCTCCTCCAATCCCTTCTTAAACGTACAATATGCCATTCATTAGAAAGCATGGCATATATTGAATGTAGAACTATGAACGAACCTATTACATCCTGACTTGCCATAGAGCTGTAACCAATGCATGCAAATAGGCTAGAATTTCTTTGATGAACAACCCCTTTGAAAAAGAATTTGAGTCCTTCGACCAAGATAATCTGTGCCTAGCTGGTRTATGAAGTTTACTAGTATAGCCAATCAAAATTTCAAAATCTTCAAAGAAATCAGCATGGAGGGTTGAAGCAATCAAAACTGATAAAAATCTTCAAAATGACTAATCCAGTTGTACYTTTCAACTCCAGACGAAACTAACATCTTCATGTGGTTCATTAATCATTATAATTAAAGAACACCAGATCCTAATCGATTTCTGAACGTCAGGAAAGATGTCGTCACAAGAGGAGCTAWTAGCACCTCTCCTTCAACCTTCAGCCATTCTGAAAACCAGTGCAGTTAACACAATAAAATCTGACCTCCATTCTCAATGAACTAGTTATGACCTTAGCCCACTTGATATATTAGGTCATGTAAATTACTCCCTTCCACGTAAAAGGATCCTGTGACCCTCGAACAGTTTACTTTGTTTCTCTACAGATTTGTTACCATTATGGTGATAAATTGAAACAACCCAGAAGATTTTCTTGAACAAAGGCAGCATAACAGAGGCTGAACTTCAACCTATCACATTCAGTGTCTTGTTAATGAAGCAAAAACCTGATTACTTCACCTCCCAAACAACTATATCATGAACTTGAAAGGAAAATTGAAACCCAACTTTAGTTTCGGTGTCCAGTGACTAGTCATAACCCAATTTTGATATTTCATCACACAACTGCAGGCCCCCAAATGCCATGTATATCATTTGCAGAGCATGCCCGAGAAAGCAAACTTATGTAGTTGGAAAGAACAGTTCYGACATATAACTAATCAAGGATGCAAAAGTTGAGTCGTCCACAACACCCTCAGCAGGCTGCTGCAGGCTGTTAACACAATAATCAAGGAACAGATTTGGATTGGACCCCTCTTTTTGTATAGTTAGTTGGAAGGCTCCCCTGGTTGCGGGCTGTTTTGGGCTGGTACTTTGTAGCCTTGGCTTGTTCTTTGTTGTCTTGTTTTCTTTAATTCTTTTCTCAATGAAAGCTTGGTCTCTCATCAAAGAAAAATCCCCAGTTTAACTAATCAACATTTGCTGGGGGCATATGCAGCAACCTGGATATTAAAGTATGGCATTCTAGGTATAACCGAGGAATGTCATGAAAAATCTCAGGCTGCATTGCATCTGAAAGAAATAGTTGAAAATGATAATGGACTGAATACCTAGTGCAGAAAAGATTAGAACACCCAAAACGCAAAAATCCCCAGCAATGATTCCAAAGTTTCAACCAGCAGTAAACTAATTGCTGTGGAAGGTAGAACCTAGTCTGAAGCCAAATAGAAAAGTCTAAAATTGAAGTTCAACCCTTACAAAATCAAAAGCATAAGTGCCCTACTAAAATGTAAAAAGACTTCCACAACAGCAGAAATCAGCATTTTGGGTGAATATTGATAARTATAAACATAGAGAAAACTCGTGTTTATGTGGGAAAGAAAGGAGAAACATACAGGTGACCCCAAAATGAAGCTAATGATTGGAGCCAATCTGACAGATTTAGGCCATCRTCCTTCARCTTATCACGCCCTCCTTGTGCCAAACGTTCAATCACAACATATTCCAATATGTCATACTCAAGCTGCATAAGAATTATGGGAAAAAAGACTTAAAAAATCTTGAACTTTTTTCCTTTTAATGAAACGAAGACTTTTTTTTTTTAAACCTTGAAAATTAAATGTTAACATAATTTATCCATGGAAAAACAGAACAATACATACCTGAGTCAGATACTTGAATGCATCTACTACAGGAGTAATCATATCCCTATATGCCTCAATCTGCATAATGTTATTTAAWCATGATCTCTACTCCAAAGAGATGGAAGATGAGATGTGTCTAGCTCAATATAGCTAAATCAAACAATACCTGGTGTACTATTGTGCGAAGGACAGTCATTGGATTAGCATGAGCGAGTTTTGCAACCATCCTACCCAATTGCTTTAAATTCTCCTTAGCCAGCCTCTTCAAAATCCTYCGCGTGTCCAACTGAGAAAAGGTTGATCGTGGTTACATAATTCTAAACCATTAAGGATGTAAAGCAAACAATAACATAAAATAAAAAAATAATTAACCAGTACCTTTGCTGTTTGCTTTGCAGCCAGAACCATCGGAATCTTCTCATCATCTTTCTCCCATTCACCATATAAACGATATCGCACCTAGTAATATAAGATCTTTATATCAAAAGCACTAATATGGATATGAATTATACTACAAACAGAAGTACAATTAAATTCTTAGGCTACAGAATCGACTACATAGGATAAAAACAAAATAGCACCAATCTCAATGAAATTCAAGTTTCAAGGTATTCGATTATTAATAAACAAATTCATCGATAGAATTAAAAGGTACTAACACAATGGACTACCTCATATGGAAGAAGATTCATTACTTCCCATATTCCTTGACCAACAGCCGGATTGGCAGGTATCAACTGTAAAGAAGGAAGTAGGCAGGTTCCCAAGGCTTCCTCAATCTTCAACCTAGCATCCTTTAAGTGAAGATGAGGAACCCGGTTGCCAGCTGGCATAACAAATTCAGGATTCAGACCTCTTTCCCCACTRTTGGCAAACTCAACTGCCGACATATAATAACCTCTCAGCACTCTGCAAACCTGCAAAAATTTTAAAATAGATGATAACAATTTCAGTTAGGAGAATTATCAGAGAAATATAGTGAGAAGTGAAAGGGAAAAAAAAACTAAAGAAACGAATTACCTTCTGCAGCAAAATTGTATCACGATAGAGATAAGGTCCAGCAGCAGCAAGCATCTGGAAAAGCTCCCTTGGAAGATCTATATAAGAACCAGCAACCAGCAAACTCGTGGTGTCTGTAGTATCAATGCTAGTTCCTGAATTACTCACGACGCTCTGATAATGATTTTGATGATTTTGACGAACATTACAGTATGCAGAGGAAATTGATTCTTCGATGAGCCTAAACACACACCAAAATAAAACTGATACTGGATTACAAGCTCACCAAATACATAAAAGAGGCCAATACTAATACAGARACACATATGCGTCTATTTATGTATATAATTAAGCCTCACATCGGAATTACCTAAACAAGCTGTTACAAATTGGAAGGTGTTCCACTGGATTGAGAGGTGAAAGCCGATCAAAAAGTACATGAGCATGATACCTGACAGGAACAAAGAATAAAGCTAATAAAGTCTAACATTCTGCTTGATTGAGAGTTGAGAGTTGAGAGTTGAGAGTTGAGAGTTGAGAGCTTCAAATTTTTTTCAAGGAAACTGAACTTGTATTATAGACAAAAGCCATACAGAAAGAGGATGAGATTCTGAAAAGAGTCCAGAGAATTATAAAAAGGATTCCTAATTCGCATAAATGTGAAACAATTCAACATTACTAAACACTTTAGAAGTAGAGCACAAGTAGAAGCAAAGGGCCCCAACAAGTAAAAAGTAGACTTCAAATTGTTGAACTCAAGTATTAGAAGATGGTAGCAAGTAACAACACTTGAGAAAATTTTTCCCTAAAAAAACAAGAGAAGAGATTTCAATTATCACATGTTGGGTTCATCATTCATGCATGTGAAGTAAACTGTATATGTCCAAATTCAGGTGCAGATCTGGTAAAAGAAAATTTCTATACCTTTTTAAATATCTATGATTGTACAAATCAGCTTGACTTTAACGTTTATACTTAATGGCAACAATATGTTAATCTTTATAAATGACTCCTAACATAGTTTGTAAGAGATTCATCACGTTTTCAGAAGGTCCAGCACACGTCATACATCATGTACCGACGCCTCATGGTTCGTCAAACTGACGACTTCATTATCAATTAGGTTAAGACAGACATCTTCTTCCAATCATGTGTGTAACCTGCAGATGGGTCATTCTTCATTTGAGTATCTACACCAATACTTATGTTGATTAGTTTCGACAGTTTTACTTTCCTCATAATTGTTTGAACCATTTGGTTAATGCTGCATGATTTTTGACAATATCTTCAGACATTACAATCAACTTCTTGGCTATTAGTATCAACAAGTTATATGGAAACACATTTTGATTTGAATGCACCAAAAATAGAACAGAAAAATAAGAAAATTGTGGACTCTTCTTTAAAAATGATCTCACACTTGGCTGTATTCTGTCCCAACCAAGAAAAATGACGGGATATATATCACGACAAATCTAGAGCCCAATGTGAAATAAACACGTCAACCCACATCACAATATGGTACTGTTATGATAATTCTGGCAACACATTAGGCTCAGTCCGGCTCCCTCCGACACACAATGGAGGCATTTAAGCTTACCGGTCATCTGTTGATGGAGGAGGTTTTGTTGTTCTCCCTTTTGGAACAAGGGAAGGTTTCTGTGGCAGGCTTGTTCTTTTGCTATTTTCTGAAGGATTTGACTCGAGAGACACAATAGAATGTTTAGGGGTTGAGAAACTCTAGTAGGATATTTGGAAACTTATTAGATTTAATACCTCCACATGGGAGTTGGTTTCTAAGGTTTTTGTAATCGTCAATTAGGTGTTATTCTTTTGGATTGAAGTCTCTTTCTTATGGTCAGCCCCTCTTGTTAGACTGATTTTTTTTTTGTATATTCTTGTATATCTTTCTTTTCTCTCAATCAAAGCTCAATTTCTCATTACAAAAACTACTTATTGGTCATTCGTGCTCCTCTTTGGGTGGGTAAAATCGACAAACAGTAATCCAAATTTCAAACTCTAACGACCCATTAAATCCTTAACAACCCTACATGTAATTTTGCATAATGTTATGAGAGAATACTCCATTTTATTTCACGCAGACATAGATAATCGGGGAAAGTAGTTGATAGATTATATTAATATGTAATAAAATATATTTTGTAACAAATGAAGGAAAGAAAGGACATCATCACCAACTCATGCACAGACGTTTATTCGAAGAAATAGAGTTGAACAGGTAAAACAGGTAATCAGAACAACATTAAAGTTGACACTTCGGTGATACTATTACAATATGCAGACAGAAGACACAAAAAGACACATTAACACCAGACAGAAGGTATGGACAACATTAAAGTTGACACTTCGGTGATACTATTACAATATGCAGACAGAAGACACAAAAAGACACATTAACACCAGACAGAAGGTATGGTTAATAAATTCAATCTTACGTACCAGTCACCCACAGAAAGAAATCCTGTAAGCAAGCCCAATGTTTGATTATTTTCCAGCTCTGGAGACCTTTCACTTACTGCCTCGCTTTCCAAATCAAGAGCAGCAAAAAGATCAATGCTTACATCTCCTTGCTTTTCATCATCCATAAGATCCTTTCCAGTTGCGGCAAGATTTATTTTTCCAATCCTGTTAGCCTGCAGAAATTAATCAAGTCCATGACAATATAATATATATATATATGTGTGTGTGTGTGTGTATATAAATATATGTATGGACATAATTAATAGGTTAACCATGCAGAAAAACCGGAATATAATATTAAATAACTTGACAGCTGCAGTCWAAACTTCTAACTCACCATAAATACTGGAATCCAAACTCCATTCACAAAAGGCCAACAAACTAGTGTATAGGAACTGCCATGTAGGCGACAAGCTAGCTAACTAACAGAGTAAATAACTAGTGAACTAAACACTTTTGACAAGCTGTAGAGGAGATGCCCAAGCTGGACCTTATCCCCATCATGGTGCTGTTTGTGTGAGACAAACTTTGAAACACAAGGCCACATCTTTATGTACCGCCCGTTCTCATCTCCTATTAGACCTATTTCCTATCAACTTTTGGGTAGAACTTGTGCCTTCCAACCAACCCTCAAGATTGGCTTGAAACAATTTTTATGCAACATCCGTTCAAGAAAGAAAAGGCTACTCTCTGGATGAATATCAACAGGGCCTTCATTTGGATTATATGGAAAGAAAGGAACTCCAAAATTTTCAAGGAAAAAGAACATACACTTCAACAATTGATTGACTCTACAATTTTTTTTGGCTTTATCTTGGTGCAAATGTGTAAATCATTTCCTTAGTTATAGGCCTTACAACTTGAATTCTCTCACATCATTGGATAGGGCCTGTTTTTTGTAAATTTCATGCTATCAATAAAATTTGTTTCGKAACCAAAAAAAGGAAAATAATGACTTGCTTTTACTCCCTCCATTCATCAATTGAGTCTTTATCTAAAGGTGACATCATGGATTTGTACAAAAAAGCTATCCAATTGGTTCAAATAAAAAGGAGAAATTACAAACTCAGTACACAAAGTAGCCTATCAAGATGAAAGGAAAACTAGCTAGTATGGTGTTCTAATCAAAGTGAATATATACGTGACATGGATGGAGGAACCAAGTGAGTTTGAAAAGTAATGTTAACTAGTATTTACTCTAGCAATACCTCATCGAGTCGTTTGGAAGAAAAAGAATCATAATGCTCAAACGCCTCATTCTCCTTGGGAAGTAGATGTGCATAGCTGCAGTAAATAAAAACATAAATAAAAAGATGACAAGTAAACAATTGAAAGTACGACTTCAAGATTAAAACACCACACGATKCAGGACAAGGGAGAGAAATAAAGCAATAGCGTGAAAGAGAGATTGGGTGGAATGTTACTTGTTTTCTAGAGAATACTTGTATGAATTCCAAAAGTATCACAATAGAAGATGAGGAATCTATCCAAATCCAGGCCCCAAGGACCAAAATAGACTTCCTAACACTAGATCAGTGCCTCTAAGCAACCTTCAAAATCTAGATGGCAAACATCCTCCACAATAACCCTTAGCATCACAAATACCCCATTACAATTTCGTCTCTTATCAAAAAAAATAAATAAATTGCGAATTCCTTTCCTGGACTAAAATTCTCATTTCCTTTATCACCCTATAATTTTTGGTTTCTATGAATTGAATATCTGACCATGTTTTCTTCAAAATTCTGGCAGAAAATGAGTGTACCATCAGCAAATTGAAGGTGAGTGACTTCCACCTCTTGGAAACTTATGACGGCACTTCCAAAGCACCTCTTTTCACAACAATAATGGATGTAACGGCTAAGAGAATCTCCCAATAAGGTGAAAAGGAGGGGGAATTAGGCATAGAAAATTCTTTTGTAATTATAGCATCTCGTCGATTATACAAGACTGGAGGGCTATGCTTCACTAGTTTTTGGGAGGGGGATTCCTCTTCCCCCTGCCCTTAGGCTGTTTTTGTCTCTATGCTGTTTTGTAATATATATCTTTCTCTTATCAAGAAAAGGAGGGGGAATTCTGTTTAAATTAATATACAATTAGTTTTTACTTTCACCAAATATTAAAAACGATTATAATTCTTCAATAATCACTTTTAAGATCTTCAAAATCAATCCCAGCCCGGCCTACCTCAGCAGCATTAGGCTAATTCAGTATCCCTCCTACAATACTAGTCTAGTTATCACTATGACATTTCTTCAAGGTGGCCCCCTTTGACACAAGTTCCCTATTATAAAAGCATGCCCCAAATCATATTAACTAAGTATTTGACTTTCCAAATCTACCTGAGCCTATGTTTTCACGATAAAACAAAATTCTTCCTCAGCGCTTCCAAATACACTTCCAATGCAATGAAGCATATAGCAGCACAATCAAACGGCTAGATTAAAAATATGATGAAGAAGCAAAATGATTTGTATCAAATTGAAAGTTGAAACTAACATTTAAATTTTTTTWAAAAAAATTACTTACATGCTATCAAGATCAATAAATTTTTCCTTCACTAGTAACGCTGTAAGCTTGTAAAGCCCAAATGGCACTGGTGAATTTACTTCAATGCGCTGATAATATTGGAACTTAAACCCGAGGATTTGTGAAGCATGAGACTGCCAATAAACATAACATCATGAGAGACTTYAAGAGTTCATTTATCAGCAAGTATTAGCAAGAACAAGATCACCTAACGCAACTTGTCATTATTCGTAAGCATCTTTACCTTGGGAAATATTGGAATCAGCTCTAAGAAAACACTATTCTCTGGTTGAAGTTCAAAACACTCCAGGACCTGATATAAAGGCATCAAAATATTTTAGAAGAAAACAATTATGAATAGAAGGAAAAAGGAAAATAGAAAATATAAGATAAAGCAAAATAAACAAGGGAATAACTCACAATGTCGAAAACACGGTTTGGGTCCAGATCAAAATGCCCAATTAATGACTGCAGAAAGCTTAAAGATCATTAAATTGAAAAAAWTTTTAAATATATTTACATAAAAGAATAACTAATTTGATGTCCTTTTGAGTGTCTTTTTGTTAAAAATAGAGAAAGAAAAGAGACTCAATCTGAACGTTTACGACTAACCTTTATAATACCAATTGTTGAACCTGGCAAATTATTATTTGAAGTGTCGGTGACACGGCAAAGAAGCGTTACCTATGGATTAAGTGAAGCTTCTCAGTAGATGAAGTACAAATTCACAACAAAAAGAAATTATATAGAAAAAATTGACATTTAATGACTGTAGTAGTAAGAATACAATGATTACAAAATAATCAGATTTCAGAGCAAAACATTTATGAATCTAATGATCCGGTTCTCTCCATTATTAAATCTTTCAGGTGCAAAGCTCTTGGAAAGGTTCGTGCCCCAGAAAAAGTGAATGGTTTTGTGCGGGCAGCAGGCTTATTGCTGAGAAAGTCTAAATACAGTGGAAAAGGAGCAACAAAGGTGCTTTGGTCTGGTTTTGTGTCCTTCTCTCAGTTCAGTTCCCCTTCTAGGCAACCCAGAACAGCTTTCTGTCTGGAGTCTGGAGCCCCTTTATCACCTAAGTCCCCAAGAAAAACTCAAGGGTTGAAAAGGATCCTTTTTCTCCAAAATTATGCCATCAAACCCACATTCAATCCTCTCTCTCAAACCTACCCACCAATTACATGTCTCTGTTCAAAATGTCATGTGGTGCAAATACCGTAGACTCTAGAGGAACATAACCTCCTGCCCCATCTCCTTAGATGGTCTTGGCCACAGCAGTTTGAAAGAGAAAAATCTATCCCTATTGGGAAAATGGCTTTGTAAGGAAAGAAATGTTTTGGTCGAATGCCTCAAGAGCTCTTTTGTGGCTAGGAAGGAAAGAAATATTACATCTTTTCTGATAAAGTCAAATTCTTTTTAATGTATTTGTAATATTGCAAGGTTCTGTTTGTTTTTTCAATGAAAAAATTGGTTTCTTGTTCCAAAAAAATTATTGCAAGGTTCACTACCCCTAATTGGAGTGTTCAACACAAATATTTTTCTTATCAACATAGATTGGAGGACTTTTGTTTGACCCTCTCTTTAGAAAACGGGACATCTTGCCCCTTTGTCCCTTACGTTATCCAGTTTGGCTTTTGGCCTTTTTGAATGATTTTTTCTCCCTATTCAGAAATAATAATAACTGTTGTAAGAACTTGTTGAATAGGCATACACCTTCCACATTGAGAGAAAATGCCTTCTAATTGGCACCTAACATTATCAACGGGAGGAAAACCCAACTAACACAAAGGTGCAACATATATATTTATTCAGCATAAATGTGTGAATTGAGCCAGAGAAAGAGAGCGGATTTTATTATGAAATAAATAGAACAAGGCAAAAAACCAAGAAGAAAAGCAGAAAAACAAAGAACTAGGTATTTAGTCAGTATCATACCAACTTGGCATAGCCCTCACTTTCTTCCCGCAGAAGATTAAACTTTGTTTGTTGATAAAGAAGACGCGTATTTACTCTGACCTGAAATCAAAATAATATGTATATATATCACCCTTACAGGTTTGGCCTCCATGCAAAAAATGAGGCTTTATCAACCATATGACAGCATAAAAACTTAGGTTGACGGAACAACATAGAAAAGATTTTGCATGAGATTAGTTGTATATGTAGATTAGTTTCATTCTTAGCACAATGATTGGAACAGGTGAATCTGTTTTCATTTTCTCAATTAAAAACATAAATCCAAGACCACCACCAACCCTTCTCCTGCTATTATAAGTGGAATATTTAGTAAATCTATAATATCATGTCAGCCTGAGATGCGAACACATTCAATGTGAAACAACCAAACACTATACAGTTACTATACGGATATAAAAGGAATATAAATATCACATCAATACCCAAGGCATTATCAATACCAATGCTTGAATCTCAATAGAACTATAACTCACCTCTTTATTTTTCAATTCTTGAGCCTTAATCTTTATCATTTCAGCTTCCCAAAGAAATTCTTCCTAAAATCAAGAAATGGTGCAGCACTTATTGAGGCCCACAAATACAAGCAAAAGGTTATTATGCTTGGTAGATRATTAGAACAGCACGAAAATGCATGTTACTGTCTCTAAGTAGAGTGAAAAAATATAAAAATACAACTGAGAGAAATTTAATATAGATATCACCTCACACCGCTCCTGAAAAAGCCTCAATGGAACAAATGCAGATTCAACCAGCCATTTAGCCTAAAAGGAACAGGATACAAGCAATTGATAAATGAGTTATTACAATTTTTTAAATAAAAAATGAAACATATGGCAATGGGAAACATAATAGCATGTTCTCCATTTCATTTATCAATGAAAAGTTTGTTTCTTGTTAGAAAAGAATAGCATGTTCTCCACATTAAGAAAATTATCAAAGATTAAAGATATCTGATAATAATATTCCAAATGTTCATGAGGATATGCAATGAAATAGCAATAAAGATCATCACGTAATTTGGTGGCCAAATGAGACAGATCAAGTTTGAAAATTCCTCTTTTCTCAGATAATACATCGTAAAGGTGAGGTAAACCTTAATAACCAACATATTTTCATTCTTCTTTTTCTTTTTGTGAAATATTGAAAGTGACTTCTCATTATGCAAAATAAAGTTATTTGCAACCAGATCGACAGAAGAGCCTCTACTAAAGGAGGATACAAATTAGAACTGCAATTGATGAAAATTTGTTCGGTAATTTTATCTTTAACAAGATACATGAACTTTTCATTCATATTTGTAAGGTTACATGCTATCAACTTTCTAAGGAATATACGAGGTAGAAAAGAAAACCCCTCTAGGTTGCACACATACTATTTGCAGCCTAAAAATACAAAAGAGAACTGTCATGAATAACAAACTAATGGATCCGTATCAAATTTTCAATCCGACTTACAAGAAAGCTTTCGGTAAGAGTTAATCTCATTAATATGATATTTTAAAAAGATTTGTAATAACACGCCATGAAACCGCATGGTATTTGGTAATTTTCGAAGTTTCATCCCAAAGGGAGCACTTAGTGTTGAAGATTTTTCTGTTTCATTCATACAAAATTCAGGAGACAATAGCTTTTACCATGTTGTGCCATAGAATTCTTGCTCTCCCTTAACAGCCATGGCCACAAAGAAGAGTAAAAATGTTGTTCTTAGCTCTGAAGTTGATTGCCCACAAAAAATAAAAAATCTGGAATTGTTTCATCCAAAAATGTCTTTTATAGGTGCAATGGAAAAACATGTGATGAATGTCTTCATTGGCCTCAAAACAAGGAGCAGCAACTGGGACTCGGTACCCAATTAGGGCATTCCATWGGGACTTTATCGTCCGTGTTTAACATCTCCATAAATACCAGCCAAGTCAAGATATTCACCTTCTTCGGAAATTGGCAGAAACAAGAACTTTAGGCAATGCAGCATCTCCCTACCTCCCCTTTGAACAAAGATTTGACTGAGAACCAACTCAAAGACTTCAACTTCCAACATCTATTATCTTCCTTTCTAGAAAGAGCTTTTTCATATAACAGCTTAAAAACAACAATATTCGGCTACCTCCTCATCTTTTAAATTTATTCTAATGTGTAAATTGATAGCGCACTCTATGAGCCATATCTGATGAAATTTATATTAGAATTATTTGTTACTTTTTGTTTATTCATGAATGATTTACGCACATGAGATATATTTTGCAGAAATGAAGAATCGGGAGGAAACAAGACGTAATTTGATCAAATTGAGAGAAAAATCCGAGTCAAAATGACTAAGATTAGAGCCTAAAACCCAAGGAGGCAGCATTGAGACACTGCAACACTACAAACTTAAAGCATCCTTCAAAAATCTGTCGTAGTCTCAACCCTGTTTAKAGCGTCTCGACCATGTGTAACATCTCAACACTATGGCCTATAGCGTATCAACTCTGTTTATAGTGTCTCAACGCTATAGCGACATTTTTAAAAGAATAAGGTTTTCTATTCGATGAGGAGAAGGAATTTTGGAGAGGTTTTATGGCAATTTGCCTTTTTGGCCAATTTGGAGGGCAAGGAGACCATTGGAGCTGAGAAAAGAGATTTTCAAGGCTCGAGATCGTGGAGGTCGCTTCGGGACGGACGATTGACACGCYGAACTTAGTTTCTTCTCCTTTTTCTTGATTTTTCTAGCTTTGCTATGTAACTCTCATTGGGATTTGTTGTTTTACATTGAATATGAGTAGCTAAATCCTCTTATCTTAGAGATTGATGTAGCCATTGCCATCAATGTGGATAGGGTCGTTGTGGCTTCTTTTGCTTCGAGGATGGGATGCTTTCTAGAAGATCTTCCCATCAAGTATCTTGGTATGCAGTTAAGAGGAAATCATAGAAATGCAGCTTTTTGGGAACCCATCGTTGACAAATTCATAAGCAAATTGGATAAGTGGAGGAACTTTTTGTCGACTAAAGAAGGCAGACTTACTCTTGCTAATTCCGTGTTAAATATTCTTCCCATTTATATGTTCTCAATTTTTGAAGCCCCTATGAGAGTAATCAAGGAGATGGAAAGCATAGTCAGAAACTTCTTTTGGAATGGAAAAGGCTTCCACCTGCAAACACCTTGKTATCTGGGAGACTACCTTATTGCCAAAAGTTTTTGTGGGGCTAGATTTAGGCATTCTCCAGCAGAGAAATCTAGCCCTCTTGCACAAATGGTTATGGAGATACACCCATGAAGAAAATGTGTCATGGAGCAGGGTCATTTCAAGTATATATGGTCCAAGACCCATGAGTGGCTACCCTTTCCTCCAAGAGGTCAGGCTCTAGGGAGACCATGGGTGGACATAGCAAAGCATGGCCCATCTTTCATGAAGTTTGTTACTTTTTTTGGAAAGACAAATGGCTGGATCCTTTACCTTTAGAGCAGAAACACCTATAGCTATACAGTATTTCTCTTAAGAATAATGATTCAGTGGCAGATTGTTGGGACGATATTTGACGAGATTGGCAATTAGGCTGCAGAAGAGGTATCTTGGATAGGGAAATGAATAACAGGTTAACTTTGATGACTCTTTTCAGATGGGTACAGCCTACACCTACAGGAATTGACAAGCTGGAATAGTCCCTTGACAGTGGAAAACTATTTTTCACCAACTCTATGTTTTTGAAACTTTCAGAGACACAGTAACGGCTGAAAACCCCTCTCGGAGATTCAAGTACCCAAATAAGGTAAAGGTGTTTTCCTTTCAATGCTTTTTTATGATAAAGTTATTGCATTAGCCCTTAGCTGGTGTAAGTGCTTTTATTTTCCCTTTTAATAGCTACACTCTCAATGTTCTCGTCTCTAGCTGGAAGGCCTTTTTGTAATCTAGCATATGGGCTCTTCAGTGTTCCTTATTAAAAAAATAATTAAAAAAGAAAAGAGGTAAGGGTGTTTTGTGGAGTTTGGCCTATGAAAGCTTGAATACACACRAGAAATTACAGAAAAAACTCCCAAATAGGTGCATTTCTCCCTCGATGTGCTACCTTTGTCTCCGAAATGCAGAAAGTATGGRCAATTTTGTTTTTACASTGCCTTTATGCTTCTAAAATGTGGTTTTTCTCGAGGGAAGAAGTTGGTTTTTCGGGTTGTCTACCCAGATTGACGAAGGGTGGTATTTGAAAGGGAAAGTTAAAATCTAGTGGATTTGTGCAGTCAGAACTATTTTTTGGTGCATCTGGAAGGAATGTAATCAGCGGGCCCATCCTTTTGCTTTATTTTGTGAAAGCGTACAAATCAATACGGCCACTTGATGCCTCAACCATAAGAAATTCTTTTGTAACTACAGTCTAGATATGATCATCCTTGATTGGAAGGTTGTAATGCTTTAGCTTTTTATGGAGGGGTCCAGTCCAAACCCTGCCCTTAGGTTAGTTCCCTCCCTTTTTCTCAATATATTTTGTCTCTTATCAGGGGGAAAAAAAAAGAGAGAAAAAGGAATATTCCATCAACGGTTTCTGCAACTTTCATTCCTTTTGGATTTAGTACACCAACCAGCTTTCTCAATTCCAKACATACTTACCACCACTCTGTACCATAATTCATTACATAGTCTTACAGAAAAGTTGTTAGGTAATAAAATTACAAAATTGTTTAGTGAGAGTAATACATTTGAATGGATTTGTCGGGCTCCTGTACCACAAAATCAGCTTTTCTAAACCTTATCGTAGACCTCCCATTCTAAAATGTCCTCTGGTCGATTTAATTTGGAAATTCAATTACCCTAAAAGAGTGAAATTCTCTCTAGTTGTTGGCTTATAGGAGCCTAAATATTCATTTGCAGATCCAAAGAAAATTCCCAAACTGGGTGTTATACCCTTTGGTTTATTGCTTCTGTTATAGGGAGGAAGAGGCCTTGGATCAAATTTTCCGGCATTGTCCTTTTGCATATAATGGGTAGATTTGAAGGAGCTTGGTTTGGAAATTTGCATTCTAAGAAAAGTGGATGACCGGGTCTTAGAGGCCTCCTCAGATTGGGGTTTCAAAGACGAGGAAAAAATTCTGTAGAGTTGAGCAGCAAGAGCTCTTTTTTGGCTTAATCAAATAATTTTCAAAGATAAGACTTCCTCTTTTGATTCTTTTTGTAATAGCGTGTAGCATGTAGCTTCATGGTGGTGTTGTATTCCAACTACAGAAAATTATTTTGTAATTATAGTTTTCGGATGATTATGACAGATTGAAAGGCCATTCTTTTGTAGTCTCTTTGGGTGGGGAACCCCATCCCAAGGCTGTTGATATTTTCTCCCTGTATTTAAATATATTTTCTTGTTTCTTATTAAAAAKAGAGAGAGAAAAAACAATTTGTAGGCTACAAAGACTACCACATCAAGATAATTACAATGCCCCTTTGAGTATCATTGAAGAWTCTCCAATTTCTTTCTTCCATATTTCATTCATCCTAAAGATCCTGGCTTGATTTATTTTTATTTCAGCCTGTTAAACTTTGTTCAAAGAAATTCTTTACAAAGTTAGGATTACACCAAAGTATTTTGAATCTGTTTAAAACATTGTTCCAACTATTTGCTGCAAACTCACAGTTCAACCTTACTAGAAAGCAATCAAACACAACACAAAACTATACTACAGCGAGACAATAATCATAACCTCTGATAGTTTAAATACTCACCAGTTTTAAAAGGCGAACACGATACTCTCCTGGTAATGTGATCTGCAAATTAAGTAAATTTAGATCAATAAGTAAAGAACCTCTAACGTTTGAATATATTTGCTCCATCGGAAACATGAAAAGCATTTATAATCATAATGAAGTGAAAAGCAAACCCTGCAAATAAGAGAATTTCAACAAGTGAACTTTCAACTCAACCAAAAGATGACAATTATATTATCAGATTTTTTTTTTATATCCATTTGTCCGGGCCAGCTTGCGGCACCTAGACTAATCATGGGCCAACCGCTTSACCCTATTACATTTAGTTGACAAGGAAACTCATATGATATTAAATCCTTGATAGGTGGCCACCATGATTTGAACTCATTCCCTCTAAGTCATTTGATATTTACATTGGTCCTGATTGACCACTAGGTCATCCCATGACAGGGGAACTTCAAAACAAACAACAAGATAACAAAAACTAGTGCCTTTTATGTAGATTCGGGGCAAAATGTTGAATTATGTTTTGAGGTGATGCACTCTCTCAACAAGAGTTGGAGCTGAATGTGGAAGAGTTTCGGTTTTTGGTAGTTATGAGGTTGAGTATCTAAAAGATGATGGAGGAAGTCAACTTCTTTGCATAGTTTTTTTGGTTATAAAGAAATCGAAGAATCTTTGTGGGGCTAAATAGGTTTGTAGGATGATGTTTGGGATTTAATGCAGTTTAAAKCATCCATTTTGGGTTCTTGATTTAAATTTGTATTGTAATAATTCTTCAGTTTTGGTAACCAAAAGTAAGTTTTTTTTTCTCTGTTGTAAAACCCCACTTTCGGGTTGCCTTTCTAAGGCCAGCATCCTTTTTATTTTTTCATTCATCACAATAGATGTTAGTTTCTTATCAAATATACATAAGAATTTCTGCCTCCACCTTTCAACTAATATGATTATCATATAAACAATTGAAACTTCAAATTTTAATTTAAGCACATAATGGAATATGAAGCTTGCTGTTAACAGAGAGATAAATTAAATTAAATACTAACGTCTTGGGCCAATTGGGTAATGACATCAGCAAAACACGATCCTAACTCCTCCGCAGATATTTTGTCCGAGAACTCTACCGAATCCAATGCTGCTTTACACTTCGGGAACGGCAATTCGCCTCGGACCTGAATTCGACAGAACCCCAAAAACAAGATTATATCATAATGAAATAATTGCACCACAAATATCCTCAAACAAAAACGCCTAATAATTACTAAATTTCACAACTTCTACATAACCAAAACTACCAAGCACATGAAAACGAAAACATAAGTTGATAATTTAAAAAAAAAAATGTATAGATAGATATCAATTAGAGTTCTAACCATGGTCCAGCAGAGCTCGTAGAGGAAGCGAAGCACAGGGACAGGGTTAGGGACCCTAAAGCTGGAGTTTCCGGACTTCCATTCGCGAAGATTGCTTTCTACGACGTATATACACTCAAGCGGAGGGAGAGTCATTGCCGGAAGAGGCTATGCAATCCCTTTAGGGACCCGAAAAAGAATGGTTGGGTTTTGGGAGCTGAGACAGCTTCAGAAGGGAGAGTGAGAAAACCAAACGAGRGTTAATGGGGTTTTCATGGGGTTAAGGATGAGTGTATGGGAGAAATTAGGGTTTGAGATTTATGAAGATTTGTGARGGAATGAAGAAAGAGCAGTGTATCTGTAATAGGGGTTTGGGGAAGCTGGAAATTTTGGAGAAGAGATGCTGCGTCGCCTGACGTAGCCGATCGACAGGCGAGACGGAACGTGGATTGGGCTTTGGGCCCAGCGGATCTTTATCGTCCATCGGCCTTGTTTAAGAAGCCCATAGTTCCATTTCTAAAGTTGCCCAAATGAAAATAAAAGTTAGGCCCGATTAAATAACCCCTTCGGTTTAATAAAATATTTTTAATGGGTCATTTTAGAAACTATATTTCACGAATATCTTGAGGTTTTTTTTTCATATTTAGATTCTCATATTTTAAATTTTCATAATCTCAATATTGCCCTTAGTTATTATTATTTTATTTGATTAAATTTATTTTTTTAATTTTTGTATCCAATCTAAAAAAATCTCATATTTTTTTACGCGTAATTAATATCAATATATTCGCTTTGGCAGTTTTTGTCAACATATAAGTTTCAGAAAATTGAACTAAGTCACCGTTATGGTTCCAACCGATCAAATAATTAACTCGATTTTGCTAGTTTCTTCCTTTTTCAATCTTAGCTTAGCTTTCACACATAAAGTTTACTATTAAAACTTTTTTGCCAAAGAATTAATAATTTATTACTTGYAATTTTAATTAAATTCATTTACTTATTTATTATTAATTAATTAATTTTCTTATTCGACCAATATATATTATCATAAATTTAATGCATTTTAGAATGGAGATAAAAGATAAAATATACAATGTAGCAATTTAAAAGAATAAAGATAAAATACTGTAGCAACTTTAGGGGTAGCGATAAAATACTGTARCAATTATAGGTGGAATAGTATTTACYGTTGCAACTTAGGTAGAATAATATTTACTATAGCAAATATGAGTTTATAAAATTGTGAARCAAATATGGGTTTGTAAGATAAATCCTACTTCCCATTTTGAAAACGGAGAATCAAACACCRCTTATAGTCTTCCTTCGTTAGAGTTGGGTTAGAATTGTGAAACTCTATTGTCCGTTAAAATCGAATCGAACAAAAAATTATGAGTTCAGTACATATTTTGTTTAAGTCGAATCGACCAAAACTAGTATAGTTCAAGTTGGTTTGGTTTCTTTTMTCCTAACTAGTTCGATACCTCGTGCAAATGCACGAAAAATTTCTATTTAACTTAATTTTATAATAACATAAATAAATGAGGAAAAAACAATACCACTAACAGTAAAATAATAACAATAATAAACAAAAAAAGAACATTAAGAGRTATATATACAAACTTCATTRAGTACTTTACTAATTRAATCATTTAATCTATGGGTGTATTTAAATTTCATTATTTCGTACCACTTTTTTAATGAATTTTAGGTTACATTTCAAATTTTTAATATATTATTAAAAATGTATAAGTACTTTAATTTTTTATTTTAACAAYGTTATTTTATCTAATTTTGGCCCATTATTTTTAAAAATATTTTGTTTGTTTACTAGAAATTCTAAAAAATTACACGCTAACATTTTGTTATATATTAAACCTTTTAGTTTCTACTAATTTAACTTCCTATTATAATTAAAATTATTAAATTAAAATTATATTATATTATTAGAAAAGGAAGGAACTAAAAGTTATATATTCCTTAGATTTCATACAAATTATTGTTCATAATTAATTTATTAATTTACTATTTACCATTAATTAAAACTTTTTTATGTCCTTATACAATTTTTCTTCCAACAAAATCAACATGAGTTTGCAATAAATCAATACATTATTATTTTCTAAAAAACATTCTAAATACATGAAATATTAATTATAAAAAGAACAATTCAAAACAATAGTAAAAAAAAAAGAAAAAAAAACAAACTTTAGCTATACAATAATCTAAAATATGTTGATGTTTAATAACCATTATTATTTTACCTCATAAATTATGGAATGATAATCTCGCAAACGTTGAATTCAAGATATAGATTTGACACATGTATTCTCTGCAAYTTGATGAATATGTCACCAAAATGATTTTGAGATGTTTTTAGATTGAATAATATTTGAGAGCAATATTTGTAAAGAATTAAGTGTTGTGAAAAAATAGTGAAAGAAATATGGTTTTATAGTAATAGGAAATAAAACATTACAAAACTTTTGAAATTCTATTATAAATTATAATTAAAGAAAATAATTTAATTTTATGGTGTAGAAAATTTTTTGTATTCTAGCCTTTTGCATTCTAACCTTGTATAGATCATGTACATRTATTATTGTTGATAATTAATAATCAATAATTAATATAATATTTATAATAAATTATTAATGGCATAATTTATAAATTAACAAATTAAGGAATGGATAAAAGTGTCYAAAAATATTTTTTCAAGATCCTCCCATTTTAATATAGTATAGATGAAGAGTAAGAATCTATATAGTTATTTAAAAAAAAAATTGAAAGATTAAAATAGATATTTCAAGAAATCAAATATAAAAGAAAAATTACTTGAGAAAGAAGGAATACAGAAAAATCAACATTAAATTATTAATTAGCATGAGCGGAAAACTTTGGGGAAATTTCAGAAGATCAGAGCCGCAGTGACGGGGCGGTGGGGGTAACCAACATAGTCAATCACTATCACCGATTCGACAAGTAAATGACAGCCAGGGGCCAGGTAAGCCCCACCCTTGTTTTATCGCCACGTGTCATTTGCAAACGACTGTGACGCAACGTAACGTAACAGACAAAACAGCGAGCAAGTGCAGACCAGACCGGGCGTCCGTTTCCCAGATATTGCTGAGCTGGCGTGTTGATTTTTTTGTTTTGTCTTTTTTAAATTTCTTTTTGTCCATTTTTGGTAATTAATCCTAATAGTAGGACACTGTTTGGACGAAACTGAAGAAATCGCAACCGAATCGTAGACTTTAGGTATCCCGAGTTGGCGGGCCCACTCCCATCTCCCAAACGACGCCTTCCGTTTCCCCATTCCATTGAACAAAAGTGTCGTTTGGACATGCTATTTTTGTGGTTATTTTTCTAGGTTTGTTATTTTTTTTCCCTATTTTAAAAATAAATTACCGATTGATGAAACAATAAAGGCTTAAATAAAATTTTGTTCACACTACTTTCAAAATATTCATTTTTGTTCATTTTAAWGATGAATTTATTCCTATTCTTTAAGAAGCAATATTTGGTTATATTGTCAATTTAAAATTTTATATGCACTTAGAAGAATTACAAAGTATCTTTGGGGAAAAAAACAATTAACTAGTATTCCGTCTAAACATATGTGAAGGACAAGTATTTCACTTATAGAAGAAGACCATCCTATTAAATATCGAGTAAAACAATAACAAATAGCTAAACTGTATTCTGATTTTGATATTAATAACACAGTATTATGTTTGGGGTTTTATTTTGCAATATTTTGACAATACCATGCAAAAAATAAATAAATGCAATGGGGTAATATTGAAAACTACTTACAATAAAAGGGTACATATGATAAATTAGGCCTCTTTTCTTCATTTCTTCTAAAGTTCTAACGAGTGCTGTCAAAAAAAAAAAAAAATCTTGAATCAGAGAAAGTGCTAGAAAATCCCTTGGATAAAAGGTTCAGCTGAAAGGAAAAATGACTATTCTGTGGACAGGGTTGACAAAGATTATAAAGCTTCTCTAAAACTTTATAGATGGATGACCAAAGTATCTAAAACATAGCGATATAAAATATAACAAGCCTTACACAAAAGAGGTTTAAGGTAAAAGAAGCAGCAAAGATTAGAGGGGCTAAAGAATAAACAACATAAAGCACCTAAGAGAAATCAGAAACTCGAGCTTCTCTATCGCTCACCGTGCATCGACGGAGGTGAATGAATTTGCGAACCCAGAAGGTCGGTTTGGGATGCTGGTTTGTGTGTTGTCTCCACTGGCAAGGAAGGATGATGAAGAGGACGACGCATCCATGTTGCTGTTTCCTTCAAATGCCTGCCATTTCTTGAGTGCCTGCGGTAATGACATCTCGAGATCAATTCCGAGTACCTCTTCAGAGTCTGGTTCTGTAGGTTTCCAGACATCGATTAGAGACGAAAGCACGTTGACTGCATGACTCATGTCGGGGCGCTGGTATGGCTCCCTTGCACAGCAATGGCCAGCCAGGTCCGCAACAGTGCTGATGCTGCCAAGCGTCTCCTGGTCTAGGTGGATTGAAGGGTCTATGGCCTTTGGGAAAGTATCCTTGTTGATGTGCATTCTGCGGAACCATGATACAAGGTGCAAGCACTCTTCTGGCTGGCTATCGTCGAGTGCTTTTCTACCGGTTATCATCTCCATCAGGATCACCCCAAAACTATAGACATCAACCTTGGTTGTAACCCGTCCCGTTACTGCTCCATCAACCATTGATGTAAAATGTTAGTCTATATATTATCAACAGAAAGAGCTAGTTACTAAAAGCCTATTGGGCTGAGGAATTCATGTAAACAAACAAGTTCAGCAACATAATCCATTACAATAAATGCATAATCAAAGTATTCTACTTAACTAAATTCACGACCCAACAGGTATTGAAAATGGGCATACTTGACCGAAATAAGAAATAGAATGAAGCAATTGTTCTATATAAACAACTTAACTGCATTGATGGAGTTTCATAACAAACAACTACAAGAGAAGAGTGTGTACCTGCGTATTCCGGGGCAAGATAACCGAATGTTCCTGCAAGTCTTGTTTCAACTGATGCTTTCCCTTCGGGAGCAAGACGAACCAACCCAAAGTCAGCTACTTTGGCCCGCATATCGTCTCCGAGAAGAATGTTTGAGGGTTTAAGATCGCGATGGATAAAGCTTTGATGTGCTAAACTATGCAAATACTCAACACCTCTGGCCACATCCAAGGCAACAATCAGCCTTCTTTTCCATTCAAGGGGATTGATCCCTTCCTTTTTCCAGTAAAACAGAAACCTACTAAGAGTTCCCTGGGGCATGTATTCATAAACGAGAAGCCTCTCATTTCCATCTAAGCAATACCCAAGAAGCGCGACTAAATTCCTATGGCGGACCTTGGTAAGAACTGCAATCTCAGCCTTGAATTCATTCAAACCCTTCTCACCTATGACTCCAGACTCCATTCTCTTCACAGCAATCTTTGTACCGTCATGTAACTCCCCCTTATAAACCGTTCCAAAACCCCCACTCCCCAATATATTTTCTGGGCTAAAATTATTTGTTACGTTCCTCAAAACTTGAATCGAGATTACCATATTCCCTGCCTCAACCACATGGACATCACTAGGTCCACCAATTGGAACTCTGCCGGTTTCAGGCGCGTTCCCATCGGCTCTAGATTCTGCAATTGTTATCTTCACTGCATTTTGGTCCCCAGAATGACTAGGATGTACCACCACAGTATTTGGACTCTGAACTCTACTACTACGCCTTTTATTTCTCCTGTACAAAAAGAAAATCACAGCCCCAACTAGTACTAGACCAATAACACCAATTATAGAACCAACTACCACTCCACTATTACTTTTCTTGTCAACATCAACAGGTAAACCGCCCGATCCAGGATCGGAGGGCGATTTCTCAGTGGGAGAACCTGGTGGGGGAGTACTGCGTCTATCTTTCCCAATATCGGGGTTCCCATCTGTGTTCACAATCACATTTTTCCTGAAGCTTGGCACTTTACCATGAAGTCTGTTATTGGAGACATCTAATTCTACAAGACTAGGCATAGTCACAAGCTCGGTTGGAATCACGCCAGAGAGTAAATTATCAGAGAGAAGCAACTTTGTCACAGATGTAAGCAATGAAAAGCTAGGAGAAATAGTGCCCGCAAGACCCAGATTCCTAAAGTTAAGAACTGTAACATTTACAGGGGAGTTGCCAATACATACTACACCTTTGAAATTACAAGGATCGTTCCCTTTCCAGTTTTTTGCGAAGACTGTCGGAAAATTCATCGACTGTGCAACTGATAACAAAGCATTCACACGAGGATCACAAGGGACACCCGGAGAATCCACGCAAAAGTTGTTGGTTCCTGGTCTCATGTCCAGCTGAACATTACGATCAAAAACAGGGGCGGGTCCTTGAAGCATATTATTCGTCAAATTCACAATCACGAGGGATTTCAAATTTACCAAGGACGGAGGAACAATACCCGTAAGCTGATTATCCCTCAAACTCAAGTTCTGCAATCCCTGAAGGTTGGAGAAATCCGGCAAAGGACCTGAAAATTGATTCGTGTGCAACCAAATCTCCTGCAGATTAGTCATGTTTTGCAATATGGCAACGGAACCGTTCAACTTAAAGTTACTCTGTTGTCCATTCAACCAAAGCGACTGAATCGACGAACCCGAAAAGCTTGCTGGCAATCCGCCTTCAAGAAAATTACCCGACAAATGCAAGTTCCTAAGAGTCGGAAACGTCGTGCCATCGAAAAAATCAGGGATTGTACCAGTTATATTGACGCGATTGGCAGATATTTCCTGTAGCCCAGAAGCGTCTCGAATGTTATCAGGAATTTTCCAGGCGGAGAAAGGATTGTTGTCGATTTCTATCATTTGCAGAGTCGACTTCTTCGCGAAGAAATCCGCCGGCAAGGAAGTGAAAAGGTTGTCATGCGCTAGAAGTATCTGCAGTGATTCGGCAAGATTAGGGAACGGCCCACTCAGCTGGTTCCCCTGCACCTCTAATTGCACTAATGCCGAGAGGCTGAAGAGCTCCGACGGCAGCGACCCTTTGAGGTTTTGGTTCCCAATTTGAATTTTGACGACCCGGTTCTCAGAATCGCATTTCACGTGCTTCCATTGACAGTAATCGGAACCAGACCATCCAAGAGACGCCGGGGCTCCGATACTAGTCCTCAAAATAACCATCACTGAACCATCCCCATCCCCGCCACTCGGCTGAGCCCAAACAACGTAGAATCCCAAAAACGACGTCAAAACGAAGAGGAAAACCCCACGCCCAAAATGGGGTTCCCTCATATTTCGATATTCCTTAGGAATCCAAGAGAGGAAAAAGAAGGCAAAGTCCCGTCCGCCTGTGGGTCGTAAACCAGAAGAAAGAAAGAACAGGAACCCAAAATCGTAGGGTTTAGATCATCACATTGGGAACACAATCCGGAGAATCTGCATTGCATTAAAACCCCCTCCGCTTTTCTCCTTCCGTTCACGACATTTTTCTTCCCTTTCCCTCGATTTCTTCCTTCTCGGAGGTTGGAGGAGAAAGCGGCGGAGATGGGGGGAGGGAGAGAAGAAAAATGAAGAAAAGGGATGAAAGAGAAAAGGGAAGGCGTTAAAGAAATTGAATAAAGAAGAGAGAGRGAGAAAGAGGGGTGTTTGGGAAGTGGGAAAATGGAAGAAAAAGGAAATGACGTGTGGGGTCCAGCCGAGAAAATTTTTTGAAAACAGTAAAAAATGGTGGACAAATTCTAGGGCAAAAGCTTGGGCAGTTTCAATGGAGAAGATGATATGCTTGGCTGTCTCCCAAATCCCTCGCTCTGTATTCTCCCAGAATCATCGCTTTCTTATCACACACACTTTTTTACTATATTCGCACCCCACTCATGACAACCACTTCACAGTTGCAACCAAAATAAATTCAACAAAAATCTAATCTTTTATATATATATTTATTGTCGTAAACAATAATCAATTTTTCAATTTCCTGCATTGTAATTTTCCTTTTTTTTTTTTTACTAAATCAAAATAATTGATAGTCGGTGTATTTTTGTTAAAGTAACTGTTTAGTCTCCCAACTTTAATCTCATACGATTTAACTGCCAAACATATGATCGAGTGAATGCTTTATTTATTTTTCATGAAATTATAGATAATTACAAACTTGTTTTTTAAATGAGCTGACTAGATTTGTCAAATTATAGATCATTACAAACCTTAAACTACAGGGACGAATTTTTTTTTTTATATTCATGTGTCCGGGCCAACTTACGTGCACCTCGATTATTCAAAGGGTCAACTGTGTGACCCTACTACATTTGATTGACAAGGAAACTTGTAGGATATTAAATCGTAGGTAGGTGGTCACTATAGTTTGAACCAACTATAGAAACTAAATTGTTACATACTAAAATTTAAGGACTAAATTTTTACCAATTTAAAAATATAGACTAAATTGTTACAAACTAAAATTCAAAAATTAATTCGAGTAAAAACATATTTGATCAAATTTTTTTTATCCAAATAATTTTTATACTTTTAATTTTAACATAACTGATAACTATATCTTTTAAGAAAGGTAGTTGTGAAAACTTGTTTTTTTTATATTAAAAAAAAAAGAAGAAGAAAATATAATAATAAAAACTTTATCTGCTTYTCCAAAAAATGTAAGTTGACAAATTTTTATCAACAAAATTACTTTATGACTTTTCATAGTGATTTTGTGTCTATGTCTACATGGATCTAAGATCATGGCTCGGATCTTACTTTTAGATTGAATGCTCGTTTGGGTTTATTGGATTCTGATACCATATTAATAGTCATGAGATTTTATTTAAAAACTAATTGGCAATAAAAGAAGTATAGTCCATCATCTTTCCAATATGAATCTTTAACGTAATTTAGTAGGATTGTGCGTGACAACTTTAATTATAGTCATATTAAACAATTAAGATTAATTTTTAAAAGAAACTTTCCGAACCTTGACATCTATAAAAAAATTTCTTCAAGTTCTCACTCAAGGAAATTTGACATTCCAAAAGATTTTGTCACAGTATAATTCAAATATTAAAATCTACTCTAATCATGTGCAATCAAGAGGGGAATAAACAAAAAGAAGATATTAATCATGAGTGGGGACATTATCTTAAGGGAAAAAAAAACTTTATATAAACTGATGGAATTAAAATAATTTAAGATGTCTTGTAGTTTACTTCAAATTTGAAATCAATATTCTAATGAAGCAAAAGCTAGGGGCATTTATAATCCTTTTGTTTTGTTTTTTTTAAAAAATATATTCGATAATAATTCAATTCTGTGTTGTTTAACAACATCGTTGAAACTATTAAGTAAATATTAAAATATATATATATATATATATATATATATATATTTACAATAAGTGAGATGGGGATCTAAACTGTATAATATATGGAAGTAGGGGATCGAACTCACAATCAAGATATATGCTAATTATTGTTGAATTATACTTGTTCTAGCAACTCATAATTTATTGGTTAGAAACATGTGCCAATTAAGAATCTCATATCTTTCTTGTCCTCAACTTTATTTATTTGACRTTGGTCTCTGTAACAAATTTATTTCTCATTCTTTCCTCTAGATTTCTCCATGAAAAATTATCTTCTCTCTATTTAAAGTTTACATATCTAAATATTGACTATTATTTCTCTCTCCAAATTTTTTTTCTCTTTTTATATATATATTTTTTCTAACATATCACCCTCATTTTCTCTCTAAAAATTTAATATTTTTCTAAACCTTTTATTATCTCAAAATTTTTCTCTTTATAACTTTTATTTTTATTTCTAATTTATTTTTTCTCTAGTATATATATCTCAAACTTTTTTCCACCTAGATCTTTTTTCCACTATAATTTCTATATTTTTTTTGTAACTTTTCCTCGTTTATCTAACATACTCTTTACTCTCTCTCTAAATCTTTTTCTCTGACTTTTCTCTATCTAAATCTTTTTATTTCTTTATAAAATTTACTCTCTCTAATTTCATCCTAACCTTTTTAAATGTTTAATATATATATATATTTCATCAACAAATTTACCAAATTATGAATAAAATATTAAATATTTTCAAAATTTATTATTTATACTAGTAAATAGTAATTTTCAGTAAATTCGATATATTTTATTTTTGTATTTATAAAAACAATACAAATTAATTACTAAACCCAAAGGTCCCCATCCCCAARATGGGGATTCCTCGACCGAAACCTCGATTTCCAAAATCTAAGAATGAGGTGTAGATAAAAATTAAAAATTACCGAAAGGACGAGGATGGGAAAAAAGTATCCCAACTCCCACCCACCTCATTGTCATTTACACACTATCCATATTATCCTCTCTATAGCATATCTCTTCAACTCTCTAACACTCTAAAAACATGAAATAAAAAAAGTTATTAAATATATAGTTTTTGCCTTCTAAAAACAAAAATATAAAAAAAAAATAGAAAACAGAAGAATTAAAAATTAAAAACATAAATCATTATCAATGGATCGTAACCGGTAAGCGACTTGGCAAGAGCAAAAAGTTTTGCAAGTAGAGCTACTTACTATATTAGGTGTCTCATAAGTTATAATTGAATTAGTTAATACATAGATCTCTATTTTAATTAAAGTTGAAAGAAATTACTTAAATTGTTCTAAAGTTGTTCTTTTTTTCTTTTTTAGGTTGTACTTTTTGTTATCCATATCATCAACGATAGACGAGTGACAAGAAGCTTCAGACGATTTGATCAACCTTTGCCATAATATGGTCAACTATGATGTGTAACTTTTTTTTTTTGGCCAATTAACTTTGCTACATGTACTCTCAATTAGTTTATTTTAGTTATGGTATGTTCAACATATTTATTTTGGTATCTGTATCTTTTAAAAATGACTGTCTGGGTCTATTCATTTTATTTTTTTATCTTATTTTTTCCATCATAATTTCAACGTGACGTTACAATTAATATATTTCATAAAATGTAAAACATTATTTAATACTAAAGAATTTCTGTTATCGGTAAAATTTACGATAAAAAGTTGAAAATAAGGACTAAAATTGATCACTTAGGATCAAAATGAATCTAAGAAATACATGAACTGAAATGAATCATGAGAGTACACCCACAAAAATAATATCTCAACCTTTTTTTTCCTTGTCAAGATTGATAATGTAATGTGCCCATTTTTTCGAAAAATGAAGAAAAGAAAAAACAATAAAGTATAAAAGCAGTTTAAAAACCCAATACCATGATGAGCTGTTTGGATGTAATTTATAAAAAATTTTGAAAATAATTTTAAATTGGTTTCTTATATTGCAAGCAATCCCATATATTTCCAAAGCAATAGTCAAAACACCTATGTGATTTATGAATTTATAAATTTAGACCTCTCTATATAAGGTAACCTTGTCATAATTCAACAAATCACATGGGCGTTTGGTACTCTTTTGAAATATAGCAGTATGGGTATATATATATTATATATATATATATAAGCTCCACTTGTCACATCTCATGTCGAACAAATTACCTATAAATAAAGGCTTATGATGGTTCATGAACAAACATATGTGAAGAAGGAAGAAAATCTAAAAGAAATTCAAGAGAAAATTCAAGAAAATTCACATTTCTTCTCCTATCATCTTTGATATATATATATTTTTATTATTATTACTTCAAGTGACTTGTTTTGTTTCTCAATTTTATAATAATTTATACTTTAATTTTTTGTTTAATCAACGTTATATACGAGGGACATACTTAAATTAAAAATAATTCATGTGGATTATATCAACACAATCTAACAAGGACAAAAGTTACATAATGAAACTCAAAAGCCTTCAAATGTAACTTAGGTGGGACAAAGTTGGGTTGTAGCCCAACCAGGTGAGACTATAGATCTACAATATAAGATTTACAAGCCTACAACTTGCAACTCGAGTGAAATAAAGTGGGTCAGAGCTCGAATAGTTAAGAACATAAAGTTAGAAGGTGAAACTTGTTATGGGATAGGAAACAACAGACAAGTGGACTACAATAAACCAAAGGAGGCCCTACAAGGCGACCCACGAAAGTCGAACCGAACCGAGCAGGGATCGGAAGACCGAGCCCACTTTAACATCGGAGCCCGTGTAACAGAAGTCACACTGGTTAGGGTTGCTCGGTTTTGCAGGTATTCGATTTCTTGATCATCGAGTTTGGTGCATATTTTGGAGATAACCAGGAATGCCAAAATCCAAACATCAACAAAACTCAAGCTCAAGAGGAATGTTACAAAATGAGATCCAAAAAGCACAAAGCTATGGACCTGGATGAGACTAAGTGATCGTGGCCTGACCAAGTCACACACAACAATACAATTAGAGTGTAGCTTGAGGCGGGAGGAGAAGTCACTAGAGAAGTATAACCAATGTGAGACCATTATGGGTGTGGAGTTCATCTAGATGATATCAAAGATGCATAGCCCCGTTAGGAAAAGCAAAGAAGCCAACAAACAGGTCTTGGGAGACGAGTAGAGAGACGAGTAGAGATGAGTGTGATTCACATCCCACCACTCGAAATAAGAAGCTTGATAAGTGATGAGATTTGACGAG